TTATTTTGGGACAATGACACCCTGGTGAGATTTGCAAGGCAAAGAGAGCCTTAAAACAGGTGAAAAGCCAACATTACCCTTCCCTATTTTATTAATTTTAATTATAAAATATCAAAATAATCACCCAGTCAATCCTACAACCAGATTTTGCCGTCGCAGCCGCACCAATCTCCACAACCACCAAAACATACAAGCCCCCAAAACCACCTCCATCTCCACTGCTCGCACCATTTTACTCTCTCTCTCCCTAAACCCGTTACTTTCTCTCTTCAAAAGCTTTCTAACATCACAATTTCATCACCAACAGAGCCTCTCTCCCTAAGCTTTCTCTGTGTGCGAAATGTCAAAGTCGAATAAACAATGTTACGTTTCAGTTCCCTCTCAGATAATCAACTTTCTCTCCTCATCTTCGCTTCAATCTCTCCTTCTCTCTCCTAAAAAATCTTCAAAGAGCTCAAAGGCGAAGCTTTTGAAGAACCCAAGATTCTGGTTCTTCTTTCTCTTTCTTTTTGGTTTTCTCAGAATGTTCTTCAAGATGGGTCTCAATCTAGATCCCCTGATTCCATTCTCGCAAAACCCATGTTCGATTCCTCAACAAGGGGCCTCAATCTCAAATGGGTATTTGGATTCGCAGCTTAATACTGTGTCTTTTAGCGAGAAAAATGGTGGGGATGTGGAGAGAGACGAAGAACATAGTGGGTTTTGGAAACAACCTGATGGGTCGACGGAATCGAAGGCGGGACGCGGATCTACCGGCGCCGCCACCACATCAAAATCCACAACCACCAATCTAGCAGCAAAGGCCGCCGTGAAAGCAATATGACGACCGGCATAAGATCGCAGCACTGGGAACGGTCTGCCGTGGTGGCGGCGATTATGGTGGTCGGCAATATGCAACGACGACGGCGATGGAATCGAAGGCGGGCCGCGGATCTATATACATATATGTGTGTATGTATCTGTATATATATATATATATATGTGTATCTGTGTGACAGACTTCGTATGTGTTGGTGTTTTGGGGGCGGAGGAAGAGAGAACAGAGAACAGAGGAGAGAAGGAAAGAAATGATTACGTGTATGAGGTTGAAAACGTCATTTTAATATTTAAATTGATTAATATAGAAGTCAAATATAAAATTCTCATTTCATCACTATTGGAATGTCTTTAATAACTATATTAAACTTGAGGGGTGTTTTGTTTCAAAATAGGTTAAATTTTATCTGTATTTTTTTTTTGACAAAGCTCATATGATATTCCTGTAGTTTACCCCATTTTATATAGTGACAGATGCAGTCACTATTGGGAGTCCGATTGAAAACCGAATAAATTTTTTTTAGATTTTCAATGGTTGTTTTAAGGGAACCGTAAAAACTATATATATATATATATATCAGATGTCAAATTACAATTTTGCAGTGCATAAGTTATTGACAAATAGCAAAGTCTTTCTGACCTAACTGGTAAAATGTCCTTCCGTTGATTCTTGGAGTGCATGCGTTCAAGTTTTGGTACCAACTAACCCCTACACTTGCACTTCAAAAAAATATATATATATTGACAAATAATCACTCTCTTTCCAATGAGTCTGTTCTTCTCTCGCAGTCAACCAAATCACCAAAAAGATACGGACTACTTATGTTACCTTTTGCGCACTAGAATTGGGTGAATAATCTGCGGCGGAGGAAGTGGGTGGTGGAGCGTCACCAAGCGTCGCCTCCATATGATCGGACTAAGAAGCGAGCGTCGGCTAGACAGTGAGGAAGGCGATGTGAGAGAAGAAAGAGAAGGATTGGAAGATCGGTAACGTGGGGAATGCCGGCAAGATGATGAGGAAGGCGATGTGGGCGAAAAAAGAGAAGGATCAAAAGATAGGCAGCATGGGGATCGTCAGCGCAGATTTGAATGAAATGGTCAACGAAGATCAAACCATACAGAGGTTAGCATTTTGTCTTCGATTTGGGTGTATTAGAAAAAGGAAAATTAGTGTATTCTTTCATGTATCTTCAGTCTTCCCCTTCTTGAAGGGTAAGTGCTTTTTCTGTTAAACATCACAAAGACGCAAATACACAAACCCATCAAATACAATTTTGAATGAGTAATTCCTTGTTTTACTGTAGGCAAGAAATTTTAGTGCACATAGGTTTCATTCATTAGTTATCTTGTATATATAAACTTGATGAATAACTAAATTATTTTGTATTGGGTATATTTTTTTTCCCCTTGTGGATGTGATTTGTAATAAAATATTATCATCAACAGCTAAGAAATGAGGAACTAGGTGTTGTGAGGTTGAAGATAGAGATGATAATGACAAAGAAGATAGCTAAAATATTCTATTGAACTAAAATTTTTGTTCCATGATATTTGGTTGGATGATTTTTAACATTGAAACAAATTACAATTTTATGGTTTTTTCATCAACTTCTGATCATTTGGGTGCAACCCAGTTCCTCACCCAAGCACATTTTCTTCATTTACCCTGCCTCTCATTTCAAGTTTTCTTTAATAAAAATGACAGACACGTAAACACACAAAATTGGAATTACCAAAGCTTGCTTGGTGACTAATGCCGACTTCATCTAATTTCCCAATCTGCCACCTCCGAACCACCACCAGCGGCGGCGCTTGCTTTCTCAGATGACAATTCCCGGTGGCCTTTGGCTCCATAGTACACAAGGTATCTCTGTTCTGGTGGAGGTGTTAGAAATCTGGTGGAGGTTTTGGCCGGCGTAGCAGTCGAGGAGGATGTGGAGGGCGAGGGATTTCTTGATGACGCAGACGGGGTGGTTTTGTTGCGAGTGCAGACATGGCTGTGTTATTTAAGGCGAATATAGTGATGGTCTGCCTGCATCGATGCCATCGGTGAGCTTTGTTTGGGTGAGGTAGCTGCTGAAGAGATTATGGCTACATTGGTCACTTAAAAATGGGTCTTGGTGTAGTTAAGTCATTTTATCCGTAAGTCATTTTATACGTGAAAGAAGGGTAGAAATATCATTTTACACGTAAAAAGTCCTCTCACACACTACTAAAAAGTGACATTTGGGATGTGAATGAAATACGAAACAAATCTTCACAATGCGAGTGAAAGTTAAAACTAAAATGTCTCTCCATGTAAGATTTGACCTAACCTCAGGGGATGTCAGTGTAATTTACCCTAATATTTAATATTAAATACTAAGGTTAAATTTGACATTTTACAACTCATCTGACGGGTCGGTAAATCAAGTTTTGGGTTAACTTTATAAATTTTGTTAGTTCATGGTTTTTTTTTTCAATTCTAGTAGGGGTTTTATGCAAGATTTTGAAAGTAGATGGAGGGTTTTGTGATTTTAACCCTATTGTTTATTAATATTATAGTATATCTTTATATAGTTTACGGTTTGGCTTGGAATCCAAATTAGAACTGAAAACTAAGGGCTAGTTTGGCGTGATTGAATGAAATAAAGTGGGAATGGAATGAATTAGAGAATTGAATAGGAATGGAATGACCATTCTTATTCCCATGTTTGGTTATACAGAAAAATATTGTATTTTTGTAAAATATATATTATTAATATATATATATATATATATGTATATATATATATGTGTGTAGTCGACGTTTTATTAAATGCATTTTTTATTCATTTATTTATTATTATTTTTTTAAAGTGGGAATTGAATGGTCATTCCTTTAGTTAGAAAGTGGAATGAATTAGTGGGAATCACCATTCTAGGAAAATGGGTACGAATCATCATTCCCTAAAAATAGTTACAGAGACCTTGATTTGGCACCAAATTTCAATCCAGGGCAACTATTATGATTTATGTATGAGATTGAGGTGGAGAAAGATAGGAGTGGATTTTTAAAATTAGTTCCATTCCCACTTCATTTATTTCCATTCACTCACACCAAACATGGCCTAACAATTCTTTATTTTGGAATTGGAACCGAGAATGAACCGTATAAGAACCGAACTGAAAAGTTTGGAAGAATATGCCCAAAACATATATATATATATATAATGGTTAAAATGATAAAAACCCTTTTTACTTTCAAAATCGTGCATAAAACCCCCTATAGAATTAAAAAAACCTAAACTAATCAAGTAACCCCCAAAATCGTGACTTACCTGTTAAATAGGTTGTGAAATGTCAAATTTGACCTTACTATTTAATATTGAATTAAAAATTATAATTATTATTTAAAAATTACAAAAATAATATTGGGGGCGAGAAATGGGTAATCAATTAGTAGTAAGATAACAACCCAACTAACATTAAATAAGATTATTATAAATGTGCACTTTAAAAATTTTAAAATAATAATTATAGCTTTTAATTGAATATTAAATAGCAAAGTCAAATTTGACATTTCACAATCCATTTAGTGAGTCGGTTGGGGGGTAATTTGATATGTTTTTTTTTTTAAAATTCTACTGGGGTCTTATAACTTTTATGCATGATTTTGAAAGTAGAGGGTTTTTATTTTTTATTTTTTATTTTTTATGATTTTAACCTAAAAAAAAAAAAAATGAGGCATTGTAGCAAATTCACAATTTTATCGAACCCAAAGAACTTCCATCTTCAAAGTTGTTCTCAACAATCAGCAACTTGGGAGACAGAGATCTCTCTCGATCTCTTCACACACAGAGCGATATAAGGTTCTCTCTAGTCATCTCTTTTTAATATGTTTGGTTTCTCTAATTCTAGGTTTAATAGAACTTCAGGAATAATCTCTCAAAGCTGAGGAAAATAAAAGAAAGTCTTATACTTTGCTTGTTTTGGTTTCGGAAACTCAACCCTAACAAGCCTACGTAGTTGTATTAGGAATAAATTACACTGACACTCTTGTAGTTAGGGCTAGGTCATATTTCAGATAAAGATTTTGATTTTTAACTTTTTATTTTTACTCGCACCCTAATTTATTTTTTAGCTTCTAATATATGCGAATTAATAAAATATGTATAATTTTACTCTTAATTTTTTAATACAAAATATGTATAATTTTATAAGAAAAAAATGTCCTGTGTACACACTGTTTGTACATGCGCCGACACCATCCTTAACCCCACCACCCACAACTTCCTGTGTCTGTATATAAAAAAATCCCCGGCGGCAACCCTACCTCCACGTTGCCGCCGCATCATCACAGCTCCACCACCCACAGCCACATCCATCATCACTCCCACAACCACCACAAAATTGACAATACCCACAACCACCATCAAGCCTTCACCTTTGTCCTTGTCACAACATAGCACCGAAATCAACAATAGAACGCGCACCGAAATCAACAACAGAACGCTGAGGACGGTCCTCCACCACACACGTATCAGATCTCGGCCCAGAGGAGTCCGACGATTCCATTCACCGGAATCACTCTGTGTCGTCGGATGGCATGAAAGATGCAGAGTGTAGAGAGAGGGGGCTAAGAATCTGAGGAGAGAGTGTTGAAGTGTGGTCGCCGCCATTACTGCAGATCGAGGTGGTTCAAGACGCGCCGCGTGGGTTCAAGACGCGCCGCGTGGGTTGAACGCGCTGTAACGTCGGCTATGGCGGCAATTCATTCTTGGCCGTCTGGTTGTCTTCAACACTGATGAGGACATCGGCGCCAGCGTGGTGAGGGGAGGCGAGGATTTGGAACCAAGAGAAGGGTTACCTACCGAGAATATTTATCATTGATATCTACCATCTAAAAATAAGCCCTGCTTTTGAAGCATGACATCCAAAGTGCTTGAGCAGCTCTGTTTTAGGGGACACGGGAAACAATTCCTCAAACATGTCAGCACATTTATCATTGATATCTACCATCTCAAAAAAAAAAAAAAAAACAGAGAAGCAAACGCCGAAGAAGAAGACCATGACTGGGTCAACGAGTTTCTTGGAGCACTAGATTGTTCCAGTATAGAAAAGGCAAATTTCTTCGATTGCGCACTGGTAGTTCTAGTCTCTGGTTCCAAATCCAGGTTTGATCTTCAAATCAAAATTTTGGAATCCGTGTTGTGTTTGAGCAAGAAGATAAAGGTACCCCATACAACATTTATGCTTGTAACCGTGTGAGGGGATGAGAGAGAAAGGGGAAAAAGAAAGGTAGAGAGAGAAAGAGGAATCGGAGTGCATGAGGGCTTGAAAGAGAGAATGGGGTTCGAAGAGGAGAGAGGATATGCGTGGGGAGGAGAGAGAAACAGAAGGGGGGAGATTTGGGGCTAGAGAGAGAGAGAGTGGGGTTCATTTTTTACGATGAATAAGAGAGAGAGAGATGCAAAGGTTGGTGATGGTGTTGCGGAACACAGAGACGGGCGGTGGTGATTGTGATGACTAGTTTGGTCACAAAAATAGTCAATAGGATGTCAAAGGATGGTATAGTTGTTTAATATCTCATTATTTAATATCTCAAAAGCCCTGTAACTCTATAAAAAATTAATATTTGAAGTATAAGTGAATGTTAAATCACTAATTCAACCATAAGTGAAATGTAAACCCAAATGTAATTTAGCCTTATATTAGTCCTGTGAATGTGTTGTTTTAAGCTTTAAAAGTCAAGTTTGTTTGTTTGCTTGTTTTTTTTTTTTTTAATACATTTTTTCAGCAACTAAACGAGCTTCTGTTAAATATTACCTCTCTTCTGACCACATTTTGTCTAAAGGTTGATTGACATCGGTAGATTGTGCTGTGTGTATAGCAAGATGGTATGCTAATCACTGCACTGATTTGATACTTCCGTTAGGGTTTGGTTTGGTTTTGTTTGGTGTTCTTTGAAGCTCTGATATTTGCATGTGCCTATTGAACAGATTCAATTGTTTCTGTTTCAGCTTCTACTTTCTCTACTCAAGATTGCACAGGGGCATCCAATGGTGACACTCTTCCCTCCTTTTGAGATGAATTTTTTAATTTAGTCTTTGTTTTGTTACCGAAATTATGCTGAAAACAAATGAAGTTACATACATAGTTCAAATTTATGCTCTGTATGATTGCCAAGAATTTTGAGAAAGAAAAGAAACTCAAACATTTAACAGCAATTACTTGTATACAATCTTAAGCCCAAAATAACAACCAGTGAGTAAATTTACAATTTATTCAAACCATAATAGGCAAAATCTGGGGATTCGAAGTTTTAGTTTCTGTTTTTTTTTTTTTTATTATTATTTTTATTTTATTTTGTCTCTGCTTTCTCAGTGGCTAAAGGGTGAGACTATTGAGAGTTTTAAAAATCATTTGCTTTTATATAAGAAGAATTCTCTCTGTGTCTCTCTAAAGATTTATTGTTGTTGTGGCCGTTGGTGGAACTAAAAAATGGGGAGACTTATAACTGGCATTTGGTGAATTGCGACACCTGGATGAATATCCATCTTCGTGAAGTCATCTGCACCTCAGAAGTATTTGAATATTTTGATCAGCTTTTAAAAATTTTCTTTCTTTCTTTTTTCATGAATCATGATTGCACCTAAAACTGATAATTAATTGTAGGATGGAGAATTGGAGATAGGTTTTGGAGAATGCCTGAATGCTACATTCGTGGGGATACAAGTAAGTATTTTCGTGTTCCAGATGACGTTTGTTTAACTTTTGATGTTTTATGAATATAGTTATTTGAAGACATTCCTGTTATATATCCTACTTTAGATTCTGCTGCTGATGCTGCATATTTATCTTTGTACATTTTTTTGTGTATCAATGGACTTGCTCCAATCAACTAAATATAACTTTGATCCCAACTACTTGATAGTGGTTCATCATCAATGGTTTTTAATTCATTGGACATCAGTTCTTGGTTGTTAGTGTAAAGCATGAGTTTATTCTTTTAATGGCTTGTCGAAAAGGCTGAAATTTCCTTTATTGAGAATTGAAGGAGTTGTGATTCTGTACTGTTGGGAAGTTTATTGGTCTAGGCATGCTTACAGAATTACTACTCTTTGTTTTTTAGGTGTCTTACTGTCTTATTCTTTAGACCATGTACTCTTGTTAAAAAATTTACGAGTGACACAAAATTCTGTAATAATACTTAAATTGATTATGGAGGGAAATTGATGTTCTTTGTGGATACATCTTATTAGCTATCCCTTGTAGTGTATCCTACACAATTTATATTTTAATTTTTGTCAAAGTGGAGGATCTCGGTAAGCCATCGTTACAAATACATGTCCATTTATTTATTATTATTATTATTTGGTTGGGTTGAGGTGGGATATGTCTGGTACAATCTAAAAATATGGTTGAGATAGAAGTTAGAATATCCAAGAATGTCAAATGTTGTTGGGAGGGTGGACTCAAAACATACATAACCTTAGTGTACCGGGTGTGGGGTTAATAATAGATTCGGGAACTGCACAAGTGACTAGTTGTTACAAGGGGAGTCTTGGCCCACATCGGACCCGGATGGGAAGTGAAATGGGTATAAATGGGTTGGGTGTTAGCACCACCTAATGGCTTAAGCTTTTGGGTTTGATTGTGAAACACCCAACCTGTTATAGTTGGTATCAGAGGCAGACCCAATCCTTGATCCGGTGTCATGCAAAGTGCCCAGCCCGGAAATGCTCTGGTTTGCCGCCTAGGTAGGCAAGGTGGCCCGATTGCAACAAGGGAATTGCGAGTTTTTTTTCTTTTTTTTTTTTGGGGGGGGGCGGGGGGGTGGGGGTTGAGAATGTTACAAGGGGAGTGCTGTCCCACTTTGGATCTGGATGGGAAGTGAAATGTGTATAAATGGGTTGGGTGTTAGCCCCACCTAATGATTTAAGCTTTTGGGTTGGACCGTGAAGCACCTGACCCGTTACACTAGTCCTTTTGGGCATGGAACTGACCCATTATGACATTGGTATTAAAGATAACTGGGGGTACTACAATATGGGTCGGAAGAACTAATGTACAGGTCCCACCACCCCACAAGGAGCTGTGGGCAGATCTGAGTAAAATGACAAAAGCTACAAAAGCCAGGGGTTCCCCGTTCCTTTTTTTTTTTTCCCCCTAGTTGGACGGGGGTTCCTATTATTTGACAATTATTGCAATGTACAATCACCAGATCAACAAGGTCTTCAATATCTCAGGAAATATTATGTGGTTTCTAAATGGCATCAATATATTGCATCGCAACTTAAGTATAGCCACTAGACTTACCATCAGGATAAATTACAAATTTAAGTTCCTTTATGTTAACTATAATTTCCTCACATTTTAGCAGGTGTACATTTTTATCTACAGATCCTGCTTTTTAATTATGCTATTTCTTTTTGTCATTTGTTTAATGCAATAGATCTTCCCATCTAAGTTTGCGTAACTGATTGCAATATCATATTTCATGAAGTTCGGTCTATAAGCAGTTTAATGACAATGTTGTAAGCCCATCTGATTTTCTTATAATTTCTAGGGAATGGTTATCTGCTGCTATTTATTGATCTTGCCGGTGAATTGATATAGGCGAAAGTTTTGGTACCATATGTTGTGGGATGAATTCTATGCTCTTGCACAAATGTATCACTGCAGTGATTCTTTGTTGGTTTATGATGTGATTAAATACAATAGTTCACTACTTGATTCCTTCAGCAACATGTTCAGTACCTTATTATTATCATTATTATTTCCAACTGCTGTTTGGTCTCATGAAATTGGACTTCACCTATGTAGTATGTACAGATATTTCATTTCAGAAAGTTGACCAATGCCATTACTTTAAAATCTCGTTGGTCTGTTTCTCTTCATTTTCGATTTTGGTATTGCTTTATTTTATTTTTCGGAATTTCTAATGATGATTTTTGTTGCTGTTATAATGTTGGTTTTGCTTTTCCAGGTGATTGATAAAGTTCAAGAAGAAACCAAGAGCCGTGCAGGTACCGATTGATATTTCATTGTTAAACCCATTGGAATACTCTATTTATATTTATTCTACTGCTGGTGACTTTGTTCTTTTCTCAAACACTAACTGAGATAAACTGTGAACATGTTACTTCTTTAAATGAAGTAATACCTTTCTCCTTTTAGTCTTTTCTTCTCTATACACGTTGAGCGCACATGTAGGCTTTAATAATAATCCATATCACTTTTTTCCCAGTGTCAGCATGGTCATTTCTTTTAGAGTTATCATCCTTGCATGGCCAAATGAGCATACTGGTGCCAGCAGACACCTTCTGTGAATAGCACCAACAACTTTCTACCACAAGTACGTGAAAATTGTAATAAAATCTTTTTCTCAACATAATGCTTTTGACAAGTACTACAACCACTTAGGACAAACTTACCATCTGTGTAGTACTGTCGAGAACTTGTTTGTATCTTGGCTCAAAATTTTACACAGGGCATGAGTATCTACATATTTCATTTTGGGATTCTTTTCTGAAGAAATTATTTATCTTAGGAAAACAATGCAATTTGAACAGGTCTTTATTACTATCAGTGTGGCCTGCATAATTTTTGTGCTTTCTTATAAAAAATCATATAGTTTGTTTGATACTTTGCAAGTTATATGCGAATGCGATGCTGCTTTAGCAGTTCCAAGTGCTGTACCGGTTGAAGTTCCATTTTTTCTGATGTTAACAAAACCATGGAACTGTCTGGATAGAACTTATGCTGAGTCCCAAATCTTTTTGAATTTATTTTATTGTTTCTAGTTCAGAGAAACATAGCATGTGAACAAAAAGGAGGAGAAAATAAAAGATGTTTGACTACATGAAGTGGCAGGCATTTCTAGTTTTTTGGCAATCACTGAAAACTAAAATAGTTATAAAATTTCAGGACATGTTTGTGTATTTGTGCATGCATGCCATGGCAGTTTTGGTTAATTCTCTTTATCACTCATACTTGCAAATTTTGCTACTTGCTGTTTTACCTTTTCAGATAGAAAACCACCTGGGGTAGGGCGTGGAAGAGGAAGAGGTAGAGAGGATGGTCCTGGTGGGAGGCCAGCAAATGGTATTGGGCATGGCATGGATGATGGAGGTGGCAGATGCATAGGTGGAGGCCGGGGCAGGGGAGCGTCTGGTAGCAAGCCTGGTGTCAGCAGAGTTATAAATTTATACTCATTTATTCCTAGTCTAGGATACAAGCAGCAAACCTATAATTCCCATTTCTGATGATTTTCATCACAAAGACAACTGCATGATTTCCTTAAAACATATTGTCGCTGATAAACTTAAACACCATATGAAATTTTTATTCTTTAAATGAACAAATCATGTTTTATGGTGATCATAACACATGGTATCCGTGCACTATTCATGATTTTCTTAAGCATGTATTTTTTTTTCGAGTTTGTAAGAAAAGAAACCCCATGTGAAAAATCGTGTGTTTAAGGTGATCCTCACTTGAATGGTGCATATACCTATTTGTTGAGGAAAATAGCAGTTGCATTTTTGTTGCTTTCTAAGATAATAAGTGGATTGAAATTTGGTGACCGGTGGAGGTCCTGGTCGTGGCTGATACCTATTTGTGACAAAAATAGCAGTTGCATTTTTGTTGCTTTCTAAGATAATCGGTGGATTGAAATTTGGTGACCGGTGGAGGTCCTGGTCGTGGCTGATACAAGTAAAGCTGCCGAATCAAGTAAATGGAAAGAAATTTGCTGCGTTAATGGACAGTTTGTCCCTTTATTGGCGCAATAAAAGTGCAAAAATACATTGTTGGAAGAAAGATCTTCTTATCTCCTCCAATGGTTGAGGAGGAGGATGTGAAGGAAAATGATCACTTTTAAGTAACAGATACTGTCTTCCATTTCTTTTTTGTTTGTTTCTTTGTTTGCTGTAGGTGTGTGTCTCTTGCTTAGATTAAATTATAATGTGGTTGATTTTTCTTGGATAGTTGTAGAAATCCCACCCCTTATCAGTACTGTGTGATATGGTCTGTGGAATGAAAATATATATATATAAACCCTTGTTTAGTTTTAAGGGTTAGTTTTATTTGCTGTGGTAGAAAAAAAGTGTGCGCGCGCGTTTGGGGGGGGTTGGGGGTGGTGGGGTTACGGAGGTGTTTGAATATTAAAACCCTTCTTTATTTTTCTATTTGTTATAATAGAATAAAATCTGATAAGGAATTTTGGATCTCAACATCCATCACCATCAAACACAATAATAATGTTACGTAAAAGGATTTTGTATTTTAAGTAATTCAAAATCAATCAATCAAACCATATATAAATTCAAACTACACTCTTAATCATACCTACTCACAGTTTAAAAAATAAATTTAAATTAAAAAATACACAGAAGATCCTGAAGCAAAATACCCATGAATAAACATATGCCACTATTTAAGCAACGCATTGTAGTTGGGGTAAGATGTCATCAATAAGCTTTCCAGCCATGACCTTATATCCCTCTTCTGTCAAATGGACTCCATCCCAACTAACGAGTCTATTAGGTTCAGGACAAACTGGAACTTCAGGAGCTCCACACATCCTTGTTAGACTAAAATTGTAGTCACCCCCAATTCCACAGCAACCTTTTTGTAGAGTGTTGTCAAATCCTGTAGCAAAAATAAATAAATTAAGACTAATGCTACTCTATCCGATAAGTTAAACCTAAAACTTTAAGTGATAAACATGATCTCACTTGAAACATATCTAAGGATAGATAGCCCTTCTGCCATAGTTTTAGGTCTAACTCATCGGCCTAGATACCATTTTTATGAATTAAATTACAATCAATGTTCATTATCAAATTATTGTGCGCCTTTTGTTAGCGATGATCAGATGCATAGAGAGACTCACCAAGTTTAGGAGCATTATGTAAAAGCCATTGGAAGGCATTGTAGTGATCACCATATACAATGATTGCATTAGGGTATTCTTGCTTCAGATCTTCAATGGCTTTCTGCAGATGGTCATTGTGATACATCAAAACGTTGTTCAATGCTTTCAGACAATGATTTTCATCATAAGCCGTCGAGTCATTGGTTTTAAATCCTGTGAGATAAATCGGAAAGCAACCTGGAAAATTTCTGGGAACAACCACTCGAACTGCTCCATACTGAGCAAGTCTGCAAAATTCATATACCTAGAATTAGATAGAGTTAAAATAGATAGTAGCAAATAATTATATATATATATATATATATATATATAGAAAAACTTACTCTAACAGCATCCATAATGGCTTCAACAATATCAGACACCATGCTCTTGACCTCCTCCATGGATTTGCCTTGAAACGGTGCATAATTATAGTCATTCCCTCCTATCTCTCCAACCACGAAGAGAGAGTTTTTGAGCTTCTCAACACAACATGTGAAAACAAATATTAATAACAACCAAGTAAATAAAATAATTATTCGTAATTACTAGTAAATAAAAACTTAAATCTCTTAATTCCAAGTTCATGCATATATACATGATTGAATCATCAACCTCTATCGTCATAGCAGATGGAATTGAAATGTGTGAACATACAATCAAGTTGAACACTGACAGAATTGCCGGTCACCAGGGATGAAATGTTCTTGTCTGCAAGAATCTCTATTGGTAATGCTGTAGGGCCAGCAACTGCAAAGTTTGCTCCATGTTTGAAGATTGCATCAGTGTTTTTGAATGGATTAAGAACTGGAAGCCCAGCTGCCATTGCTGTGAGAATATGAAATATATTACAATTTACAAATAACTCAATAGCATGAAATTCATCAGCTACCCAAATAAATATAGATTAAAACTAAAAAATAAAAAACTTGTTATCATTTGTGTAAATGTTGTGGAAACAAACTTCTAGAACCCATGCATACAGTAAACTGTATATGTCATTGGAGGATATATCATATGGAAATACATACATAGCAATGCCTAAACATAAGCAAAATTAAAAAATAATTTCCTCCCCATAATAATATGTTTCCTTTAGATTAAATTTGACTGTTTGACAAGAAAATTTTAAAAATAATTTCCTCCCCATAATAATATGTTTCCTTTTGATTAAATTTGACTATTTGACAAGACTCAAGACATGTATTAAAATCCCATACCATGCAGCATAGAGTAACAATATTACAATATTTGAAACTGAGTAGGAAAGTGATATGTATAGTTGTGTGTGTGTATATATATATATATAGAGAGAGAGAGAGTGGTGATCTCTTGCCCAACGGTGAGCAAGAGAATTTATCCACACTTCGTGAAACGCTCATCAAACTCTCTCTCATCCTACTATGTCACTAGAGCACACCATATCATTTCAGTTCATTTTCTCTCTCTGTCTCGATCGATCCTTCATTCCTCTCTCTGTAAGCTAAGGTTTCATAAAACATATATATTTCATCTCCTCTCCCTCTCCCTCTCCCTCTCCCTCTCCCTCTCTTACAGATATTCTCTGTGTTCATGTTCTTCTAACACAACGCTAATCTAGGGCTTATCTTTGTGTTGATGGATTGAGTTTCTGAATCGATCAATTAAGGAGCCATTAAACGTGTTTTGGAGCTCTGAGAGACACACTTAGATTGCATTTTATCAAAGTCCTACATAATCGATCTTCCAGTCTCCAACTCACTACTCTCTCTCTAGGGTTTTCACAGCTCCAAGCACAACGTCCATGAGCACCATCTGGTATGTTTTTGCAATTTTTGTTCCCATTTCCTTTGATTAAAGGCCCTTTAAGGATTCATTTCATTCCATTTGAGTGTTCAATTTTGATATGTCTATTCAATTGTGGTTGATTTGAGCCATTTGAATTTAAATTCTTGTCATGTCCTTTTGAGAATTTTTTTTTTGATTGGATGTTTTGGATTTAATTTATAAATTAAATATATACATATATATGTATCTGTGTTTGCGGCGCGTGTATGCATAAAATAGACTACATAGGAGAGAACCACCGAGTTTTTATAAATTGCACACGTGTTATCTAGTATCTTTGTCAACAGATCATGAGGATTATCCATCCGACTTCTCCCAGTTTTAGCTATGGTCAAGGAAATGGGTAGTTTTTGTCCTGTATTATGTAAAATACAATAAGTAGGAGAGGACCACCAAGCGTTACAAATTTCTCAAACATTATCTGCTGATTCTGTTAACATTGAGAGGATTTCGAGCCGAATTTTCCAAGTTTTGGATATTATCATATACTATGTGGGCATATAAAGCAGTAATGGAGGGGATTGTGGGATGGCAAATTGTTGGTCTCATGAAGTTGGGGTTTAGAGGCACGGACTTGGTGTTTTGGCTTAATTTACATGAAGTAGCTACTTTCATACTTAACCTTTGTTTCCAAACTTCAGGTCTTCACTTTTACCTTTTGTACAAATCTTGGATTGGTCCTATAAGTTGAAGGCAAAGTGGAATATAAGAACATCAGTTGGATTAATAAAAGCTTGTTGATTCCATTATAGTTGAATAGCTAGCAATCATGCACAAATGTAAGAGCAAAAGCAATTAAGTCAGTTCACTAATTTGTATGACAAGTTATAGCACAATATTCGCGGCACTTATCCCAGTTAACGATTATCTTGTGGGACACTTTCACTATGGCATGCTGCAATACACATGTCCAACAGTAGTTTGAATTTGTCTTTTCGATAAAACTGAAAAATATCACGTCAGATGGTTTAGTGAAATCTCATTTTCTATCTCATATTTTTGAAATGACCTTATCTTGGGTTATTATTTCACTTTCAAGTTCCTGCAGTAAGATTATTTAAATCCAAAGGGGACTTCCTAACACAAACTATTGCCCAACAATTGAAAAAGAATAAATTTTGTGTACCATTCGTACCATGTTATAGTATAGGAGGGTGTAAATTGAATTTTAAATTGAGATCACATGTTTGAATTCAATAAATTCATCTGATCCTGACACCAACTCATTTAGCTATTGTGATCGAATATGCAATAAAGGGTGTTTCTGTGAGGATGAGGTTTTTAATTTACTGCTTATAGTTTGACATATCTTCTCCAATGCATGTGTTGCTTATATGATTTGGTGTATCCTGTTTCTGCTGCAGGCTTGCTTCTTTTTAGCAACTAATATCTGATGTCAGCTATTGTTATGGAATGGTATTTTTATCCTTTCTATTTGAAATTTTATTTTATATATTTAGAGAAAAAAATATTTTATATATTTTGTTAAATTCTGATTTTGGCAATGCGAGCTGGATAGTTTACTTTGCTTCTTCGTATTATGTTTCTTGATGAATCAAGTATGTCATTGGGACTTGAAGTTGGAAAATACCTTGTTGGATGGCAGCCCTACTCCTCGCTTGATTGTGACAGATTGACACTTGCGATGGTTTCTATTGTGAGAGCTTCAAACCCAAGAAAAACTATAGACGAAGGTAAATAATCCATGGCTTCCATTGCTCCTTGACACATGCAGCACCAATTAGGGTGCACGTCTTTATTTGAGTAAAATATTTCATTAATCAAAACATGCCTAACACCATTATTTTAGCAAAAAACCTATCTGGAAAGTGCTTTCAAACCCCAAAATCCAAATGACTCTCTATGGAAGGGAGGAAATATGGTCTCTGTTGAGCACCATAGCATGCACCCATCCATTCTCCCCACATTACCTCATCACACCCTCCCCCAAAGTGTTGTTCCTATATACTTAACCTAAACACCTTCTCAACTCTCTCTGCCTCCCAACCTTGAACCCCCTGATGTTTAATACTTTACACTAATCAAATGAAATCAAGTGAGACTTGCTTTGTTCAATATTAATATCAAGTATGTTCTGATGACTTCTTGTTACAAGTTTAATATCTTAAGAATATATATGTATGAGTCCTAGAAAAACTCTCAAGTGAACAAGCCTTGTTGAGTGTGACATTACTAGGACAATGATAATAATATTTGTTTCAAGCATCACAAATAGCAAAGATAAAGTTATGCCTTGTATGCGTCAACTGTCAATTATCGAGTTAAGAGTTTTTGTGTTGCTAGATTGATATGTCAACTTAGAACAGTGCATTAAAAAAAAGGACAATACTTGAGCAGGCAACTTATACTCACCACGTATGTGGCGCAATGTCAAACTGACTAGTGATCTTATATTTAAAATAATTAAAAATAAATAATTTGATAGCTATTGGGTTAAACCCAAATGGATCCAAATCAAATTCTAATTCTCTCTCCTCTCCCTCTTTCTCACGCTTCTATCACGTGGAAGCCCTAATCTCATCTGTTCTGTTCCTCTCCCCTTCTCTTTCGCTCATATTTTTACAGAGTTGGAGGATATGCAAAATCTGCAAATTGAAGTCCTGTAAACAGCAGTGGAATAGCAAGAGATTGAATGATACCATCATCAGAAAATCAGACACAATACGCAATCAAGAGAAGATAATATTTATTTACAGAAGTGTATACCCAACCATCAACATATTCAGCCTTTCCATCGAAGTCCGGTAAACAGCAGTGGAATAGCAAGAGATTGAATGATACCATCATCAGAAAATCGGACACAATACGCAATCTTGAGAAGATTATATTTATTTACAGAAGTGTATACCCAACCATCAACATATTCAGCCTTTCCATCCAAGTGGTAATATACTTCATCCTTGTTGTCCTTTTTGACAAGCTGCCACTCCTCCATTGAATTCTTATTCCCGACTCTATAACAATAGAATTGAGTTTTGCGATCAGGCGGACTTTGATTTGTATCTTCAACTGAAATGAGAATATAGCCCTTGATGACCGCATAACCGAGGACAGTCATGGGTTATTTTTCCTCCCAACCCTGAAACTGATGAGGTAGTAAAGAAGAATCCCACTCTTGATTACCATCATGATTAATAGTAGTATAAGCGCGAGAGAGAGAAGGGGAGAGGAACAGAACGGATAAGATTAGGGCTTCCACAGGATAGAAGCGTGAGAAAGAGGAAGAGGAGTGAGAATTACTACGTAGAATTTTATTCGGATCCATTTGGGTTTAACCCATATAACTATCAAATAATTTATTTTTAATTATTTTAAATATAAGAACACTTGTCAGTTTAGCATTGCGTCACATACGTGGTGAGTATAAGTTTCTTACTCACCGGTGAGTAGGCAAGTATTGTCCTAAAAATTATATGTGAGTGTACGGCATACCAGTCTCAAGTGTTAATGTTTCTACTAGCTTATATGTCTGCGCTTGGAAAACATCAATCTCAGGTTCTCAGGCCTCTCGTCTTCCCTCCATATTTTATCTCCTTAATTTTTGTTGCTTTCCTGGTATTATTAGACACATAGGCACTGATAAAACAATCGAGTGATGTTATATAGTTATTTAATGAAATGTTTCCTGTTAAATATGTGCTTTAGTTTTGTTGAACTTTTGGCATGATAAAGAATAATATGGCTGGTGGATTAAATAAGTTCTTCTCCAAAAGTGGGACGCACATTTATGTGAGTGGTGAATGGGGAAATGATGCCGACATAAAAAAAATCAGACATCGTGAAAATAGTCATGCAATAGTCATTTATTTTCTGGAGGTGGTTTCTTTTTTGGGTGGTGTTGATAAAGTTAGTCATTAAATCAAATCTCGGATTTTGTTTCGTTATAAATCTTGACTATTGTATTTTCATGTAGATTTTTCAGTTAATAATTATGCATTTAAGACAAACTTCTTAAGGTTGGAGTAAAGCACCGGTGAAAGGTGCCAGGTACGAAAATATTTTTGCTGGTTTAGAATTTGACTATGTAGTGAAAATATACCAAATTAAGAAGTCCAACAAATATGTCTTGTTGGTTTATTCAGGGATTGCAATTCGACCGTTTTCTCTGTCAAATGTACTTTTTTGCTCTGTTTCTGCTGCTATACTACTTTCACCTGTATTGTTATCTTTGTTAAAGAATTGGTTCTTCCTACCAAAGAATTTATTTTTACTATTGTATTTTTCTGGTAATAAATAAATTGAGTGAATTATAGGTTCGGGGTGACCTGTGGTTGCGGGAAAACGCATACAGTGAGAGTGATGCATGGGACTTATTTTATTTTAACGTATATTGTTTGCAAGGGCGAGTACCCCCTCGATGATATTCCGGGAAGGTATTCATTCTTCTACAACTAAACAAAACACAGAGCGTTTTTATGTATTTTTATTTTTAATTAATTTATTTATATAATGGACATAATAACAATAATAATCTTTTCAATCAATGATTGTTTACTTTGTTTTTCTTTTTTCTTACAGTGAGGAAATTGTTGCGTTGGTTCGCTGCTGGCCAGATCATGAGTATATCTCATTTCATTCGATCTTGATGAAACTGAAGTAGTTTGAGTGAATCTGCTTCTTAGAATCCTGAAGTTTGAGTGATGCTGCTCTTGGAACCCTTCAACAAAAACAAAAGATATTCAGTGAAAAGAATGGTATTAGGCTCAACTCTAGTGGTACAGGTGGAAATCTGTAGCGTATCACTCATGTTCATTATATTACATGCTTGTGTATAAGTATGTTTACACGACTCTGCTTGTGTAGTAAAACTATTCTAGGGATTTATAATTAATAGCTGTAAATGGTTATATACTTTGCTGCAATATTACAAACTACTGAAGAAAACTACCTAAATCTTGAAGGCAATATATTGATGCAGATATATAATATATACTGTGTTTTCACAGCCCACAAAAAATGGGAAACAAGATTAGAATAGTAAGAAATCTTACCATTGGCATTGTAGGATGTTTACATGAACTTTGAGCGAGGGCATTACTGCAACTTTCAGGAGCAGACGAGGGGGTGGATCTAATACTCTTTTTTCTTGGAAATATGAAATCTAATGCTAGTTTGGTTGGAAGAAGGATTGAGGAGAGTGGGATGAGAGAAGGGATAGATGATGCTTCTCATATTTGGTTGGAGGGAAAAGAGGAGATTGGTGAAGCATCCTCGATTCCCTCATAGCCTCTTTGTTTGTTTAAATTTTTTTTTTGGTCCAAAATTAGTCGGAAGAGAGGAGGGAAAGAATAACTAACCCTCCGAAAAAAAATGTAAAAACAATTTTAACCTTTTAAGTTATTTACCAAATAACTTGTTAATTCCTATGAAATAACTTTTTCGGCTATATCATATAAAAAATTTAAACAATACAATAATTATTATGGATTATAAAAATTAAAACAATGCAATTTTAAAAAGGAAAAAAAAAAAAAAAAATCACTTTTCTCCAAATTTTTTTAGCCCAAAAAAGCCTTCAAGGCACTGCTTGTGTCAGCCAAACAGTGCCTTGAGGGCTCTTTGGTTCAATTATGTTGGGGGAAAAAAGAAAGAAAAAAAAAAAAAGCCAAAAAAACTGATTTTTGGATTTTTTTTTTTTCCCAGCCAAACACGTCCTTATATTGGGTCTTGGTTACAGTGTTTTGGGCCTCAAAATTTAAAAAGAAAAAAGAAGAATCGGGCCCATTTTAACGACCCAAATTGGAGTAGGCTGGGTCGCCAAAAGGACAAAAATCGCAGGATTGGGCTGCTGAGCTGTAGTTTCTCGTCCTACTTAAATTTGGCTTGGGTCTCTCTAACATACCATATTAGGGCAACTTACAAATTGGGCAGCTAAAAAGTGGAGTAAATAACCAGGTCTCTCTATAAAACTCAACTCAATTTGTCTTTCGTTTTGGTTCTTCGCTCTTTCTCTCACAGAAAGTTGTTCGCAAACAGGAGTTCTTCATTATCTGCACTTACTTCACGCGCACACATCATCTGAGGATCATGGCCACTCCCATGGTTGAGGACGACGATCAGCTAGGTTCTATGTCGACAGATGATTTAAGTAGGGCTTCTCGACTTCTAGATACTGAGATTCGAGTGCTCAAGGTAAAATCTCTTTGTCATATTCTGTGGATTTCGTCTATTTTTTCAAAGTTTATTTAAATTTGACAATCTCTGTGTGAATCTATTGTGGTTTGAAGGAAGAGTTGCAGAGATCCAATCTGGAATTGGATTCCTTCAAGGAAAAGATAAAGGAGAATCAAGAGAAAATAAAACTCAACAAGCAGCTTCCATATCTGGTCGGCAACATAGTGGAGGTGATAAATTTTTTTTTTTCACCGAAAAAAGCTGGAAAATAAATTAGGGCTTTTATACTCTGTTTTGTTGTCAAAAATAATTTTATATGAAATTAAGAACCTGAAATTGGTAGGGAATAGATTATATGTATTTATATTTCATTTGAAAATAATCTGTGATTGCAATCTCATATTCTGTGCTGATGGAGTAACTTCTTCCTTTAAGTCATCAAAACATGTAGGCACTTGACTTCTAGATGTGTTGTATCTTCACCCAACATGATTGCCTTTGGCCTAGGTTTTGTGGGACAATAAACGATTTGTAACTTGTATAATAGATCTGACGGGGTTTGAGCCAAACTTCAAAGTATCAAAATATCACAAAACGTACTTCTTTTATTCTAATATTGGGATTACCTAGAGTCTAGAAACATTGAAAGCTACAGCTTCAATGGTGGTGTAGGTTTTAAGCAGAGGTCATCACATGTTTACTGTAGATATTGTTCTGGTCATTCACTGCGAATTTTCTGTCTTCAGATTTTGGAAATGAATCCAGAGGATGAGGCTGAGGAAGATGGTGCTAATATTGATCTTGATTCACAAAGGAAGGGTAAATGTGTTGTATTGAAAACGTCTACACGCCAGGTACATCATCATGTTCTTATGCATCTATTTGTCTTTTTTCAAATAGAAATATTATATAAATTTCTTTTATGTTTTCATCTTCTTTGGATTATATGCCTTTTGTTCCCCTCTTTCATTTCTTTGGGGAATGGGGGTGCAGTTGGGGGTGAGTAAGTTGATTTATCTTCAGAGCAGCTCTTATTTTATGTCAAAATTATCGATTTTTTAGGCATTAATTTTCTAATGATATGTATAAACCATTTTCAGCGAGGTACTATTTTATATGCAAACTTGAGTTTGTATGTCAATGATTATACTCAAATCCTGATTGCTCCTAATATCATTTGTCAATTTTGTTCTGTTCATGCTATTAAGGTGGCTAATGTTTGAAGACCCTCAAACTTTATCTTGAAACACCATTCTTCCATCTTAATTGCAGACAATTTTTCTGCCCGTGGTTGGTCTGGTTGATCCTGATAAGCTAAAGCCCGGTGATTTGGTTGGGGTGAACAAAGATAGTTATTTGATATTGGATACCCTGCCATCTGAATATGATTCCCGAGTCAAGGCTATGGAGGTTGACGAAAAGCCCGTAGAAGACTACAACGATATTGGAGGGCTTGAGAAGCAGGCAAGTTTCTTATGGCTCTGAATACAAGTTTCTAATATTTGTCTACCTGATATATTACTTTTAACTTGGAATTCATTCTCATTTTGACAGATCCAAGAACTAGTTGAGGCTATTGTTTTGCCGATGACTCACAAGGAACGGTTCCAGAAACTAGGAATTCGTCCTCCCAAAGGAGTGCTTCTGTATGGACCTCCTGGGACTGGGAAGACTTTGATGGCCCGTGCATGTGCAGCCCAAACCAATGCTACTTTTCTGAAGCTAGCAGGTCCGCAACTTGTACAGGTATGTTCGTTATAAATTATTTTTTTGAATGTTTTTGGATCTTGTTATATTTAACTTTGGAGATTGCAAATAGTTTTTTTTTCCTTTCCTGAAAAAGTGTATCAGTTCAGTTTTTGAAACATACGGTTTCTTTTTAGTAAAGGATTTTGATTACTTTTTGATGGATTTGCGTCAAGTATTCCTGTACTGGATCTTTCCCTTTGAACCTTTTTTGGTGCGCCAGGAAATGGAATATTATTCTTGTTTCTATTTGTTGCTTGTATAATGGAAATTTACTCTTTTGGTTTGGATGTTAAGAGACGTTTGGACTTGTCAACAAAAAATTTCTGTTAAAGTGTATCTGGTCTTAACTATGGAGATGACATTTTTGTAAATGACTTGAATAGTTACATGGAACTCGATTTTCCAGTTGGTAAAATTGACGAGAACATTATTTTCAGAATTATAAAAGTAATTCTCCTATACCTTTTTTTGCCATCCATAACAAAGAATATCATTTATTCAAGTATTTATTATCAATAGTAAATATTTTTTACAATTGAAGAAGTAATAGTACTTGTACTGCTCATAGATGTTCATTGGGGATGGAGCAAAACTTGTTCGTGATGCTTTTCTACTTGCGAAGGAGAAATCTCCTTGTATTATTTTTATAGATGAAATTGATGCTATAGGCACAAAGCGATTTGACAGGTATGCCATAACTCTATTTTATGTGTAATTTACTTAATCTGCCTTGGCAATTTCTGAATCATGGTGTAATGGAATTTGGGATTGAATACTTAAAGAGGTTGTGTCTTAATGGGACTAATTGATTGTAATTCTTTCTTTCAATACAGTGAAGTCAGCGGGGATAGAGAGGTTCAACGAACAATGTTGGAGTTGCTCAATCAGCTTGATGGATTTAGTAGCGATGAACGGATAAAGGTCTTTATCTTTGCCTTTAATTGAACATACTTTTAGTTTTCTGGTCACACGCTCAGGCAATTTTGAACATTTAGAAGGTTTTGAATTCCATAATTAGCGGATTTTATTTGTTCCCAACTTTTGTGGCATGGAGATTGCATCTTCAGAACATCTTTACTTTGATGGAGGGCAGATATAATTCTGGGCTATGGTTTCTTCAGATCATAGTTTTCCTCATCAGCTGAGTCATAACAGATTCATTATCTTGAACCATGCTTCTGATCCCACCAACAATTGTGCCATTACATAACTAATAAAATTTCAGTTCACTTAATTTATTAACTGAGTTGGTAATTCTGAACTTCGTATTCTCGTGAATTGCAGGTGATAGCTGCAACAAATAGAGCTGATATTTTGGATCCTGCACTCATGCGTTCTGGTCGATTAGATCGTAAAATTGAGTTTCCTCATCCCACTGAAGAAGCCAGAGCTCGAATTTTGCAGGTGTCCTTTTGAGTGTCCTTTTATAAAGTTTAAAGTATCTCATTTCTCATGATTGATGAAATCTTATTGAATAATTTGCACTGGGATTGCAGATCCACTCTAGAAAGATGAATGTTCACCCAGACGTCAATTTTGAGGAGCTTGCTCGTTCCACCGATGATTTTAATGGGGCACAGTTGAAAGCTGTTTGTGTGGAGGCAGGCATGCTAGCTCTTCGCCGTGATGCCACTGAGGTCTCTCTCTCTCTGTTAGTGTTTTTTTGTGTGTGTGTTTTGACAAACTTAATATTGGGAAAGCTAGGTTAGATGAGATGACTAGGACATTAGGAACCAACAATAGCACTACTTGATTAACCATTAGATCATGTTGTGAAATTACTTTCCAGGTTGGACATTTGAAGCTTACCTTATTTTTTAAAAAAATGTCCTTTCTACAAATCCTCCACTTTTGTCATCCAGTTTTGGACCTCACAAAAGAGTCCTGAGAGGGTAGAATGCTTGTGCAATACATATTAAGATCACATGAGCTGCTTTAGGATCCATAGTCGACTCCCAATTCCACAATAGTACCTTGCAACTTTATAATGTAATTTTTGTATTTCTTTTTCATGATTTTTTCATCTTATACTTTGTGTATGGTTGTGTAAATAAAAAGTTCATTATGCCAGTGAAATTTTCCTTTTATTTATGGAGGATTAATGTCCTAGAAAATTATTGGGGAGAACTTTTGGAAGTTTTTATGCTCTAAACATTGTCTTAATTATTTGTATTTTTTCATGAGGTTTAGGTTTGCTCATCATATACTTAGTGTTTTTAGATATTATCCATCTCATTCTGTGGATCTAAAGATTCTTGATCTGATCTCTCCATACCTCCTTACTGATCCAGCATAGAAACTCAATTTCAAGAACCTTTCATTATATTAATTGACGAGGTTTAAAACTCTTATGAAGTAGATTGATTTATTCATCATTATAAGCATCATGCCATGTGTTGAAAATTTGGTGAAACATAGATGGAGAAATTTAGTATTTTTTTTTTATTGTGTCTAAACTTCATTTTATTCTGGAAGTATGATCTCAACAGTCTGCGAGCATGAAGTTCCACCATGTGATAGGAGCATATAAAATTTTTAAGCACCATGGATTTTTGTGCTGTTTTCATGTTATATAGCTAACTACACATCTACTTCACTTGTGTGAATATATTGGGAAAGCTGGGTTAGATATAGATGACATGACTAGGACATTTAGGAACCAACAATAGCACTACTTGACTGGGGCAATGTGTGTTCTTTGGTCAATTACTTTCCAGGTTGGACCTTTGAAGCTTACCTTATTTTTAAGAATAGGAGAAAAGGTCCTTTCTACAAATCCTCCACTTTTTTCATCCAGTTTTGGACATCACAAAAGAATCCTGAGAGGATAGAATGCTTGTGCAAAACATATTAAGATCGCATGAGCTGTAGGATCCATAGTCGACTCCCAATTCTACAAAGTACCTTGCAACTTTATATTGTAATTTTGTGTTTCTTTTTCATGAATTTTTCATCTTATAATTTGTGTATGGTTTTGTAAATAAAAGTTGCTAGTGAAATTTTCCTTCTATTTATGGAGGATTAATGTGCTAGAAAATTATCGGGGAGAGCTTTTGGAAGTTTTTGTGGTCTAAACATTCGTCTTAATCATTTGTATTTTTTTCATGAGGTTTGGGTTCGTTCATCATAGACTTTTAAGAATTCTTAAGTTGCACAAGTGTTTTTAGATATTATCCATCTCATTCAGTGGATCTAAAGATTCTCGATCTGATCTCTCCATACCTCCTTACTGATCCAGCATACTTTTAAGAATTCGTAGGTTTGGGTTTGTTCAACGCATGCTTGTAAGAATTCTTAAGTTGCACAAGTGTTTTTAGATATTATCTATCTCATTCTGTGGATCTAAAGATTCTCGTTCTGATCTCTCCAGACCTCCTTACTGATCCAGCATAGAAACTCAATTTCAAGAACCTTGCATTATATTAATTGACGAGGTTTAGAACTCATGTGAAGTAGATTGATTAATTCATCATTATAAGCATCATGCCATGTGTTGAAAATTTGGTGAAACATAGATGGAGAAATTTAGTATTTTATTTTATTTTATTGTGTATAAACTTAGTTCCACCATAGTGATAGGAGCAGATAAGCACCGTGGATTTTTGTGCGGTTTTCATGTTATATAGCTTACTACACATCTACTTCACTTGTGTGAATATATTTTGAAAACTTGGAGTAAGCGTTTGGTATTTTCCAGGGGAAGTCACATGTCACTCGATTTTTCTTCTCTCGCTTTACTAATACAAAGCATTCATTCGGTGTTTTCCAGGTGAACCATGAAGACTTCAACGAGGGTATTATCCAAGTTCAGTCTAAGAAGAAAGCAAGCTTGAATTATTATGCATAGATTCCGAGTCTCAGAAGATTGTACCAGTTGAGGCTGGTGGTGGAGAAGTGCTGCAGACTGTTTACCATCCTTGTAGCGATAACTTTCCTTCAAACTGCTGAATTATGTAACACTAATTTTTCTTCAATTTTAGTTCCAAATTAGACTGGATGTCATTGATGGTACTGTAGTTGATTTGATACAGGTGGACATCCAGTAGTATTTGGGTTGTATGTAGTAAGAACAACAGCAAAGTCCTGGGTTTGATTTTGATAATTTATCCATCCCTCTCAGGTTACTATATAACAAAAAATGGTTCTGTCAGGCATGAATAACCATATATTATGAGACCTAAAATTATCTCCTTACTTTTTTGGCCACGTCTATAATTATAAATTCCGTGCTCGATAATGAAAAACTCAAAATAAATTTTTATTTTTTTATTTGTCCAAAAATATCAATTGGAGCACACGCATTAAGATCTGTATGCCAAAAATGATACTTATTTCGCAAAAATTTCCTCAACATAGAAACATGGAAAATATTGTGGAAACGATGTAAATGGTCTACACGATCCGTAATCATAAATGGTATCACGAAACGTGGTGACTTCTCTTCTTCCCAAAGCCCGTCACTCCGTTCATGGGAGAAACTTTGAGAAAAATTTGATTCCTAACTTGAAACTATAGTTTTTACCTTTGACCATTTTTCACAGGATGTCATTGTGTATTTACCACACTACCCTATAACTAACTTTTTTTAATAAAAAATAAAAATAAATAAAAGACAAAATATCTTAAATGCTTTCTCTAATAAATTGAGGTATTATTATTACATGATCCTAAATTGACTAGAGTATTGTAACTCCTCATATGGGCCTTCTGTCTAGTTTATGTGAACTCGTGCCGAATGAGTTTCCTCCTCCTTTTCTTCTACAGAATTGGAGAACACGTGTTCATTAATTTTTTCATCATTTGTAGTTCTATTTATTTATTATTTTTTATAACACTTCTTCATTTGTATTCATGGCCTTGTTCAGTAGAGAGTAAAAAGACGAAAAATCATTCAGAGCACAAAACTAAATAGTAACTTATTGAAGTTTCAAGCAAATGAAATCCTTGAAATCTTTAAGGTGAGGAATGAGGAAAGCTTTTGAGGCCAAAAAAGGATTTACAATCCCACATTTCAAATCATATGTAAGTGGGGCTTTAACTACGTCCCTTTCATGGTTGTATTATATCCTCAGATATATTGTATTATATTACAGACTAGTTGATATAATCTAGTTCTCAAAACTCTTTTAGTAGATAGAAAATATAGAAGTGAAAGAAATACACATGAACATATATGTATATATACCAACGGGCCAGTGGCCTAGCGGTATTAGTCTTTTACTTTCCAAAGGAAGGTCAGGGGTTTATGTCTCAGAAGAGACAAGTGTGTGCGAGTACCAACTAAGAAAATAATAATAATAATAATAATAATTTTTATATATTACAACTTACTATAATCAAATACACACACATATATATATGTTTGAATGAACTGGCTTTGGAGGGAGAGCATAAAGAGAAGATGCAAATGGAAAGGAGAGAACAAAAATAGGTTTGATTGGAACAAAGGAATGCAAAAGCTTTTTATATTGGAGGGTACTTTTGGGATTAATCAAAAAGTATCAATCATATGCATCACAATATGGTAAGAAAGCGGTTGGAAGTAAAATGTAAAGTGACAAATTGTTCACTTTTGAAACTATAGGGACGGACTCGCTCACTTGGTGAAACTTCAGATTTTTTTTTTTTTTGCACTTTTGCCTAAATACTTTTTACAATTAAAATATTTTTTAATTTATTTGGTAAGAATATTTGTTTAAACCCTTTTATTGTTAATTTTACAATAATATCCTTTAATAGGATGTTAGTCTTACTATATATATGATAATATCAACTTTATTAAGGAATGAGTGTAATTATCTTTATAAAAAATAAAAAGACAAAATTGTCTAATGAAAAAAAATTACCTAAAGTATTCAACCTCTACCCGCAATTATCTATTAAGTTAAATTTGATAACCATTAAAAATACTTTTAATATATATCAAACATATCCAAACGCAATCTTATACTTTCTTTAAATTTAAATTTTCTAAAGTAAATTTTTTTTATAATATATGAATTTTAGTTAAGGATTCAAAATAGTAAAGATTATAAGATTTGAGCCATATTCTAAAAAAAAAATTACTTTATTATATCTCACAAATTTCCAAATTCTAATAACATAATTTGTATATACGTGCACCGCATTTGGATCGGTTAGTAGCTCAGGAACAATAGACCTTCCTACTACCGCCCTATCCCTAGCTCTTGTGTGTCTTTTCTTGTGGGTTACACCACTAAGGTTCGAATCCCTGACCTTCTTTTAAGAAGTAGAGATCTTGTACCGCTAGGCTTTTAGGAAGTAGGCGTCTTGTACCGCTAGGCCACAAGCCTATTGGTTTGAAATGGCAAATTGTGTTATCTTTTGTTGCTTGAGAGTGATCATGTTCAAGCTTCTTTTTTGTTTTAGATGAGATTCATATTCGGTGATGAGATACAAGTTACGATGCCCTAATCCTAAGTCACCAGTTAGGAGGCAAATTACAGTTAGGAGGCAAATTAGCCTGCTCCAAGTATTACATATGTTTATTCGAATTTAGGTCATCTGCTCGACTCTTGTTGAGACATACTCATCTTAGGCCACATTCATCCCGAGGTGAGATTGGAAACTGATCTAAGAAATTATTATAGGATCCGGGACTACATGGTCCCAGGTGAAATTACTTGCTCGGCAGATTGGTACAAACTAGGACCATGCAGTCCAGATCATGTAATAATTTCTCCCCAAACCTGCCCCTAACCATTGCTGATAGTCTTCACATAGAAGACACGATCATGTACAAATTAATTGCAAAATCAAACTACATTATCCTCAAACACAGTGAAACGTATTATTAGGTAGTATATATCCATGTCAACATGGAAGCATATTTTACCAAAAGCAACATCTCAATCCAAGACTCAAAAAAAAAAAAAAAAACAATGTAGAACCTCATGTTTACCAATGGTAAAAGAAACAAGATAATTTAACCATATAGATCACAACAAGTGCCTCCATCTTAGAGCTAGACCGACCAAAATCCTCTAACACTTGACCTCCTTTAACCCATGTGCAAAATACAGAAAGGTTGGATCGGCCGCACCGTCCTTGTAATATGCAAACACCATGGTGCTGTCATCATGCATGCTCTCCCCAACAAAACTGCAAGACAAATTCAAACAGTTACATTATTAGATATAAATACCATTCTACCATATAAACACATCCATTACGTATCCAAGGTCTTTTGTTCTTATTGGCATGAGGTCGAGAAGGTTCAATTGTCAGAAATGAATTTATAGACTCGGGATTTATCAACGTCGAGTTCGTAAAAATTCTTCTTGCCAATTATGTATGGTCAAACAACTAAATTATGAAAGGAAAACCTTCGCTTATTTATATTCTTTTTCTACTAGATATAGGAATTCCTTATACCGCGTTCCTAGTTATATAAATTCAAAATTAAATTGCAACCCTTAATAAAGATGGTGTGTATTAGATAAGAGCTAAGATGCACATACAATTGGAGGTCACTGAGCTTCGAGAGAAGGAACTTAGTTGCCCCCTGGATGGACTTCATGAACAACTCTTGCTGCTCTGGTTCCAACTTAGGTGTTAGCTGCTTAATGTACTTCTTAACGTATGCAACAAACTGCTTCTTGTCAAAAGGAGGTTGCTCCTACAAAATTTAAGAAACGATTTTAGAGACATGGCAAGAAAATCAAAACAGTGGCCATGAACACAGTGTACTCGACTTACCTGAAGTCTGAATGTATCAACAATATCAACGACCTTAACAGCCTGGTCGTCGACACCCTCATCTTCTCCTCCACCTTCTGCAGAAGGGTTAGCCCCAATATCTACGTCAACTGCTCCTTGGACAACCCACTGCAAAAAAGCCATATCAAGACACCAAGTTATATAATTGCACCGTAGGACATTGTCTAGACAACAATGGGGCAAAAGAAACAAATCATTCACAGATGTTCATCACCAAAAGAAATGGATGGCTGAAAACTGAAGAAATTCAAAAAACAAAAAAGAAGAGGGTTCCGACCTTCCCTTCCACTTCCCACAGTATCCCATTCTCAATTTCCTTGTACGGGAACGAGTCAGATAGAAGCTCATCACCTGAAATTCATGATTAAAATAAGTTGCATCAACACTACTAAGACACAATACCAACTCAAAATACACATAACTAAATTAATTTTCCAACATATTCTTGAACAACAAACACATTCGTATAGAGTTTGGCAACATCATAACAAAAAATAGCGGCCAATCCAACCCAAACTGTAAGATGGCAGAAACAAAAAACTTATATCCCTGCATCATTGAAAATCCAGTGCGAGTTGAATTCATTCTAAACACACGTGCGTGACAGTGCACACCCAACCAAAAACTATTGATCTCTTCCCATGTAGTACATAAATTGTATTGAAGAATCAAAATAAATGCTTCCACTAGATAGAAGCACAATCAGACGAGCCAAAATTGGTAAAAAGGGTAAATTCTAGTGAAGTAAGATCAAGTATCTTTGATAAGGTGCTTCAGTAGAGGTAATATTAAAATAACATATGTTACATGTATTCAGAATTAAGCAACAAACAATATCACACGAGTAACACAATAAATTTTTTGAATTGAATGGAACTCACACCATACAAAGAATGGATTACAAAGAAATATAAATTAAAAAAATAAAATAAAAAATCCCTTTTTGTTCGTCTGCAGCTTTTGAAACACTAATTCGAGCAAATCAAGTAAATTTTTTTTTTTTTTTTTTTTTTTTTTTTTTTTTTTTTTTTTTTTTTTTTGAGTATTTGGCTCAGCTGATGTGACTTTTGAAAACCAAAGCAACATAAAAATCCAAACATGTAATTTTTTATCCTCAGTTAGCAATTTATAATCCACTAGACAAACAATAGTATGATAGAAAGACTATCCAAAATTGATAAGCTTTCACATGATAAATTTTTATTTTTTACAAAAAAAAAAAACATCAGCAATTTAACGTCCAACACAGCACAAAACAATAATTAACATCGACCTCATGTCTCATAAAATTTTAAAAAATAAAAAATAAAAAATAAAACAGTTGTTTTAATAAAGACTACAAACAAAACACACAATTAAATTAAAAACAAAAAAACAAAAAACAAAAACACAAACAAACAGATAACTACAATTTCCATATTCAAAAGATTAACTCTACCGAGCAAAATCTACAAATCATGAAATCTTCAATAAAAATAACGTCATACAACTCAAAACACAAAACCCATATAAACCCACCAAATAAAATCTTTAAAAAAAAATCATTCCAAACAGAACACAACAAAATTCTACACACATGCGAAACACAATTTGAAATTTAACTCCAAATTTCTAAAATAATCTAACAAAATAGATAAAACAAACAGAAGAAAGAAAGAAAGAAATAAAAAATTGAAAGTACCGGTTAGGAGATCCTGGTAAACCAACATGATGATTGCAGAATAATACTACTTTCTCTCTCTAGAATTGTTTGGAAGAGAGAACAAAAGCCAGATAAAAAGGGAGTTTACGCGGTGACAGAATATGAAATAAAGAACGAATTTCGGGGGTTCAGCGGCGGTGAATATTTATAGCTGAGGCTTTTCCGGATTGGGTAATGGGTTCGGTACCCATTTTACCAAAATAGCCCTGTTGTGTCCTTGAAACTACGATTCTGTTTCCCTTTCCGGTTCAAAATAGGATTAGATTCGGTGAACCGACCATGAGCTGCCATTTTTGACTAGGAGACTACGCACCATGTGCGTGGTGGAGTAACTGCACCTTTATTGATACTAACAAGTAGTAGTAGATACTAATGAGGTTTAAAATTTACTTTTTTCGAATTTTAAATTTAATTAAGAGGTTATTAGATAGTCTTGAATCATTATTAAAATTATTTATTAATTAGGTAAGTTTTTAATTTTTATTTTTTAGTAACAAAATTAGATAGGATTTGCAAGTTATAATTATAATAGGATTTTAAGATTACGAATTCGAAATATGACACAGTTTGTCTGCATGCAATCAGACAATATTAAAATTTTATGATGTATTTTTAATCCTTTTCGCACTAGCAAGAGCCTTTCTTCTAATTTTTTTTTGGAAAATATTAAAATTTTATCAAGTAGACAAAGGTGTTACCTATCAAGGATAGGATAATGTGGAAAACTCTTTTCATTCTAAAAGCATGAGCTTAGAGATACTGTCCCTTTTGAAAAATAGAAATTTAATACCGCTTGACCGGTTGGTGATATAGTTCATATATTTACTGAAATTAATATGTAGAGACAGTGAAAATAATTTGTATTGTTTAGAGTTGCATCCACTCAAAATTCAATTTTTATATTTTCTGTCTCCACAGTTAATATAAATTGAAATTGAGTTGATCTCAAATTGCTCAAATATAGCATCTAGTTTCATTTTTGAGCTAAAGCATGAACATAAACTTGAAACGAAGATTTATAAAAGAGAAAATTTAATGAATAATACTTAGTTACTCGTCAATGAGTGGTTCATCCCTACTAATTATTGATGTGGTTCAATTACAAAATGGACTCATAGTCGGTAATTACAAAATTTGAAAAGTTATAAATAAGGACAATATATATATATATATATATATATATATATATATATATATATAGAATAAATTTGCATCATTCCTTCTAATTTTCTTATTTATCACTTTTCTGATTTTGTAATCACAAACTATATATGTATTTGTGATTGGACCACATTAACAATAGTAAGGATGAACTACTCACTAATGAGTAGCTAAGTATGGTTTAAATTTAATTATAGATCCAAACAAATCTTAATAAAGCGTGTTCATTAATTTAAATAACCTATTCACAGATGGACTGAAAATTTTCAGTAGTCTAAGTAGCTCGTTTTTAAAACTAGTTCGAACTTAAAACAAGATTTAGTCATAGTTGAATTTGAACTGTCATGAAAAAATCAATTCATTTGTTATTTTGATTTGTAATTATGAAAACAATATTCTGTTATCAGAAAACTGAAAATAGTATAAAAAAAAATTCTGATTAGTTCAATTTTCTGAGAACTCAATATAAAAAGTCATATTTTAAAAAAATAATTTTTATATTTATTTATTTTAAAAATTTTTAAAAATTATTTTCAGAATTACAAATCAAACAAACCTAAATTTTTATATTTGGGGATATAAATGTCACTCTATATTGAGATTCTGTCACATCAACTAACTAGTGATTTAGTTTTAATTCTATTCATCATTTTTTTTTTTTTTTGACGATCCTTGAGTTATAATTGTGCTTAGCATTCTCTCCTCTAAAACGACCAAGGCAGAAAGCCAAGGCCGCCCAAAATTATTCGATGTGGTCCCATGCACCTCACAAACCACTTTAACAAGTGGATCGCAGGGGCCAGTGATGATAAAGTATACTACAATATAATTGATTAATTGTGTTGTATTTCACTGGTGCGAATATTTTATTCGAACCTAGACATATTCTTTTCCATAAGTTTAGTGGGACAATAACAAAATGCTACAGTAGTAATTAATTTGACCAAAAACCAAACAATAAGAAGGAAAAAAAACACGGCTGACTATGGTGTGTTAACGCAGGCAAAAGTATAAAAAAAAATTTCTCAAAACTATTTTAAAATCGTAGTAAATTTTCTCATAATATTGCCGGTTTACTGGCAAATCGAACAATAAACTATTAAAAATTTACAAATTGTTCTTTTTTGTCATCGTCATTTTTCGACGTCGAGATGATTAAAATTATCTAAATAATCCCATTATATACTTATATAACATTCATAAAGTATCACAAATATAAAATACCCATAATATCCTTTAGGTCATCTTGCAACTAACCAATAGTTCAGAATTTTATTTATTTATATTTTTTAACTCTAAATTTCCTTTATCTTCTTAGGTTCTCCTGTTAACTACTCGAAAGAATGATCAAATGCCTGTTTTATGAGCACACGCTTACCTAATGACAAGGTCTTACTCAGCAATGTTAAAGATATATAAAATTGACATGTGTCCTCAACAATATCGCTAATATTTTATTTTCGGCAAACTTGTACATGTACGTATATTATCATCACATTATCTATCACACTAGTGTGACCAATGGAATTTCTTCAACATTCAGCAACCTTGGAGAATTTGAGCCACAAACCCCTCCATTAGACTCAAAATATAATAATATTTTAAAATCTAATTCAAGTTAATTTTGTCATTACTTTTGCAGCTACTTACTATACCATGTAACATATTATTATTTTTTGTATTATGTTTTTGGTACTTAACTTCTTTTTTTTTTTTTTTTTAAGTTGCTCAACTATAGCTATAATTGCGATGTTCCGCTCATGGTATTTGCTTCTGTCAATCATATTCACAACTGGGAGTTTATATGTACAAAGTTTGGAGGAAAGTGCTAGCTCGTCATCTCTGCCAAGGTAGATTAACCATTCTTAAATTTTGGATTTCTTAATTTAAAAATTTTTTTTTTTAATTATTTGTATTTGTTTATTGGTTTTCTGTCATTTTAAAAGCTAATATGATAAGAATTGAAGATGCTGAAGGAAGCTTGCACAACACAGAAGTGATACTACGCATTTTGGGTAATAGATAGAGTATGAATTCATTTAGATTTAGTACCCATTGAATTGTCACTGAATTAAGAACACGAGAATGTTTAAATTTACAAAACTTAATTTGCAGAAACTTAAATTTTTTTAATTTTTTTTTTTAAACTCCACCTAAATTGGGCTGAAGGTAATATTGTAATTTTTTCTATCCATACAAATATTAGGTGTAACATCAAATTGGATATAACGTTCTGTGATATATCTCGAGCCCTTACCTAACTTAACTCGAATATAATTTATAATGATGGTTTGTTTAGTTACTTACCTTCCTATTTATTGGTAAAATACCTTAATGTGATATGTTGTAACCTATGCAAGTGTCGCATATACAGTACTAAGACAATTCTAATTTTTTAGAATGCTACAAAAGATCAATGAATGACGATATTTAAGCTCCACTATATCAAATGTTGAGAATCACCTACAAACCTGCACAATTCTCTATGCAAGTGTAAAGAGTTATAAAACGCATTTGCTACCCATTAATTTCCTCTCCATATGTCCTCTAAGCTATCATCCAATAAGGAACAAGGAATTTCATTACTTTTGCATCTACTTACTGTACCATGTAACATATGGTTATATGGGCAACCTAATTTAAACAAAAATATGACATGACGTATTTATAATCTTATAAAAAAAATTATAAAACCACATACTTATCTTATCATATATTTTTCCTATCACCACACGTCACACTAATCCATAAGCAATTGGAGTCATTGGACCAATCATGGTCGGACATTTTTGTCCATCCATGTATATTTCTTCAACTCAGTGAAACTTACTGTATTAAATAAAGCGTCTCTAACTTCCAATCCTGACCGTCCACACTTACCTGGCCCCACATCTTGGTGTATCTCGTCAGTAGATTCACTGTACATCAACCTACCAGATTGCCCCCTTTTGAAGCTTAATGTGACATCAATTTCAACCACAGCTAATCCACAGAAGAGCACCGAATCAATCCAAGCCGTCCATCATATTCTCTCATTTGGACAGCGGTTACCGAACGGTCCTCACAATAATCAAATCCCAAATCTATCTTCTGCCGTAAAACTGGCGGAGATGAGAGAGAAAGAGAGAGTTTAGAGAGGGAGAAAGAGACTTTCAGATTTTCCAACACACAAACACATCATCGTGATTCAAGAGAAACGAACGATCCCTTCCATTTTCTCTCTCTATTTACTCGTCGATTCATAGCTCTCTCTCAATATCATATTCAAACCCTAGGTTCCAGAGCTTGTAATCTGAAGTCTACCGTTAGATTAAATCTTACAGAGCTGAAAAATTCGAAGCTTTTCGGTAAATTTAGGAGAAATCTATTCAATTTTTGACGTCTATATGTTGATATATGTATATATGATGATGAAACAAGGTTTTTGATTATGGGGTTGGAGGATGCTGATCTCCTCGACGATGGCGTTGCCGCTGGCAAAGCGTCGTCGGTTTCGTGCTCGATTTGCCTAGAGGCCGTGACCGATAATGGGGGTAGATCTTGGGCGAAGCTTCAATGCGGCCATCAATTTCATCTCGGTTAGTTCAATTTGAACTCATTCAATGAAAAATTATGTGTTCATAGAGAATTAGACGTGATCTGATTTAATGTTGTTCACCAATATGGGAGATACTTTCGATATATACAAGTTGTGAAAATTAGAGCTTTGAAACTGTGTAGTTGAATAATTGAATTTGTGCAACGTTGTGTTGCTTTTATTAATTTATTTTTATTGTGTTCCCATCCGTGGACTTTTGGTAAGCTTCTAGATTTGTAGATGAGCCTGCTTTAAAGATCAAGGGAGCTGGGTGTTTGAAAGAGAATTAATGAGTTTTATTGAAACTAGATGGGCGGTTGTTGATGGATTTATATGAAATATGAAGTAGAAGAATTTATGCTATGAGCTTGTGACTGAAGCTCAACTGAATGAGCAATATAAAGAGTAACCACGGTTGTTGACCAAAGAAACAAATTACTTGAAAGTAATTTGGTTGAAAAGTGTGGGAATGATTGGTGAGATAATTCAAATTGGCCTATATAGTGTTCGGTAACTTTGTATTTTCATTATTTACAATTTATCAATCCATTTGTAGTGTTCACCTCTGCCGTGCTCAACAATCTATAGTCAGTTCTACTTGAGTTTGTCTGTCATTCCCATTACTCCTTTTTATTTTGTAAGTCACCTAACACCTTTTTCTGTACCCTTTAGTAACTTAAGTGTTAATCATTGAATTTCTCAGCTTGACATGACTACAATCATCGACTGAAGATGAAATTGTAGTTGAATTTCAAGCCTTGCCATTTATCATTGTTATCTGTTAATAAGATATATAGTATCAGGCTAATGTATTTTATTAATGGCTTTTTCATTTGGGTTTTTACATTATAAAGTAGGTTTTGGGTAAGCCTAGAAAATCAGTTTTAAACAATATAGGTAAACCAGAGTGATGGTTGTTTTGACCAAATTCGTTTTCCCAATTTAGAGAGAACACTGTGAGCAGCTCATATCTCACCTTACTGACTCCTCTATAAACTTCTTGAATGTCTCCTACTTACCAGAAAATTATCTTAAATGATTAAAGAAGAAACCAGAAGGGTTTTTGAAGTGTGAATATAATTGGAATTAGGTGTGTAGGTAATATGCCCTTCTTTTCCAAATTTTCAGTAATCAAATGTTCTTTGATGGGCGACAGAAAAGCTTAAATTGTGGGCAGCCCTAGTTTGTTACAATATCCAGGAAAATCCATTTATTGTTTGAAAACACAACCAACTGTTGCCTTTAGTCCATGTCCTCCAGAGATAATGGAAAAATTATCGAACTTTCAGTGATCAATAAATGAGAAAGGATATTGAAAACAAGACCTTTGAAAGTTGATCATAAATATATATATATATATTCTTTTTATTTCACTCTTTCAATGGGCTAAGTTGATTGAAGTTTTTAGATTTGTTCATGATTTTATTTGTGATTTGCGGTTTCTTCTCATGATTTGTTGTGTTTTTTCAATTTTCGAATTTGTTGATTGATTAATTTATTGAACTTTCAGTGATCATCTTTCCATTTTTGTACAATTTCATTATTAATTAAGAACGAAAGGATCTGAGACTGAGAATATGATTAAAACTTGAATTACAATATCAATACGATCTTACAGTCCAACTAATCTTCTTTGTCTGATTTGTTCCTTGGGCGTGCTCCCCTTTTGAGTGTTTTAATGAATTTTAATTATCAAAAAAAATAAATAAATAAATAAATGAAGCAACCAACGCTAAGATGTATCTGACAGAAATAATGCTAAGAAAACAAAAGAAATTAGATATAGTTCAAGAATTAGTGTCAAACAAACTAGTGGTCCAGGAGAACCTGTTAAAAGTATAATTTGTTGTCCTATGAACTATTAACCAGTCCTCTGGTTGGACTTGAACTAGACTCGTCCTAATTCTAGAATTTGAAACAGGTCTGTACTCTGTAGTGTTCATGGCTTGATACAACTCTAAACAGAAAAAGTGTAAACCTCTTTTAGGTTCTCCTCCTAATCCACCTGGATGATTCAATTCATTCCTAGGTGTATAGATATGTGCAGAGGGTTAAGCCTAGTACTGTTGTGCAGAGAGGTAAAGCAGCTGCACCATATGATCTGAAGGCTGGATTTCATTGTCTGCCAAAGTTCTTACTACAGTAGAAAAGGACAAGGTTTTGAAGATGGAAAGGGCTTTACATCACAATTAGTATACTTCTGAGTAGAGGGGCAAACCCAGACATATTGTCACAGAAAATGGCTTTTTTGATACCCACAAAAATCAGCTCCTGATTGATGGTCAGGAAAAGAGTACTACATCAATAATTGCTGTTCATACGGTAATCATTCTTCTTTGGTGGCATTAGGACACTTGTTGGAGGAGAATTATTTTCTGACGATGGTTGACCATCATTTACACCCATTTAGATTACCCCCTAGCCAGAAGATTGATACCAACTTTTGTCAGTGAAAAGTTTGCAGCAATAGCATTGGTTCAATTTAAGATAGCATTCCATGTAGGATATGTCATTTGCAAGGTACTTTTGAGTAACGATCACTAAGGGGCATGACCTATACACTCTAGGTATGAACAGACGCTTTAGTCAATTGCCGTATAATCTTTCTGAGTCTACCTTAATTCCTACCAGTCTTTTAACCACATCTTGCTTTAATAGTATGCCTTAAATTCTGTACATTTCCTTTCAGTACAACAGTTTTATGTGTCCATCTTATTTGTTATGTTCAACTTGTTGAACTTGTTCATATTTGTCTAGGCTGCACATTTCCTTTTATTTTATCAGTGAAAAATATTTGTTTGTTAGATATTGTAGCTGTTTGTATATTGTCCTTTATTATGTTAATAATATCTTTCTCATGGCTATTTTTAGATTGCATTGGTTCTGCATTTAATATAAAGGGAGCAATGCAATGCCCCAACTGTCGGAAAATTGAGAAAGGACAATGGCTTTTTGCGAACAATTGTCGTCCATTTTCCGAGTATAGCATGGATGACTGGGCCCATGATGAGGAACTTTATGATCTAAGCTACTCTGAAATGGTAAAGTCAGAAAGTTTTAATTGCATTTTTTTTTTTCATGCAGTTTCTGATTTATGTTAATCAGAGTAATTTTGCAGCAATTTTGGTTAGGTAAATTATATTGTTGCTCCAAGAGAAGGCCGAGGAACTTCATTTCTTATGGCATGTGTACTTCTTGGCTATGCAAAAAATACTAAATAAATAAAATTCAAGGAGTTTTACGAGAATGTTAATCTTAAAATTGTAACACAAAAGAAAGACTATGTTTCCTTCACTTCCCATGAATTTTAATTTTGAAGGGTTTGTCGGTTGGAATATTGATGTGTCTTTTTTTTTTTTTTTTTTTTTTGGGTTAAGGTTATAAGGATTTTATGTTAATTTATTTTCTTTTGTTTTATCATGTGCTTCAAAAAAAACGTGGCTGACATTGCATCTTTTGATTTCGAAGTATTCCCGTCCTACATCAAGAGGTGTACAGGATAAAGTGTTGTTCATTGAGAGGTATGTAGATATGTGTGGTGGCCTTCTTTGGGGGGTTTTGTAGTTTGATGTTATAAGTGGGGCAGATAGCAATTCATTGTGAAGATCTTTCAGGAGTTGAAGTCGTGTAATGGGGATAAGGCCTCCAGTCCTGAAGATTCACCATGGGTCTCTTTCAGCAGTGTTGGTCAATGTTTAGGTGTTGATGATGGGTTCTTCATATTTTTTTGAGCTGGGGATCTTTATTGCAGTGATTCCCTGGAAAGGACGTGTGCATCATGCAGTTGGCGTAAAGGATTTTAGACCGGTTAGCTTGGTAGGGTGTGTTTGTAAGCTGTTGGTGGTAGTATTTAAGGCTTGATGGTTGTGAATGGAACTGTCTGAGAGGCACAAGAAACATTTGTGGGGTTAGATGCAAAGCGTGTTGCGAAGCGCGATGCAAAGTGTGTTGATGCAAAGCGTCTTGCGAACGAATATGTGGACTTTAGACTGAAGTGAGGAAGAGAGAGTACTTTATGTACCTCATAAGCTAGACATTGAGAAGTTGTATGACCATGCAAATTCTTAGGATGGGAATAGGATCAAGTGAGGAAGTTGATGGAGCCTTGTAATCTACTGTCTGATTTCTTGTTTTGTGACTGGCTCTTGAGAAGGGTTCTTTTTGAGTAAAAGATTTGAGGCCGGGTGATCCCTTCTCTTCTATGTTGTTTATATTGGTTTGACTTGATCAGGTTGCCGAGGAGGGCGGATGCGTGGAGTTTGTTGAGGTGCTCTGAAGTTGGGTAGTCAGTAGTGGTTATCAGATGGAAGTTTCTACCTACTGCTAGAAGATGATATCTTTTTGCATATAGAGCACTTGAGGCATTTGCATTATATTATAATTTGTTTTGTATCAGTCTCATGGCTCCAGATAATCTGGGAAAGAGAAGCTTATTCCAGTTGGGAAGATAGGGGATATGGAGGATATGACTTTCAATTTTGGGTACAGAGTGGCTTCCCTTGGCTACCTTCAAGGTGAAGGCATAACGTGGGGTGCTATAATCTGTTTCAGAGGTGGCTTAAGGGATGAACTGGCAACATTTCCTGAGAGGGGAAGGATTAATCTTATAAAGAGTAAGTTGCCTAGTATTCGTGTCTCCCTTCACCAGTCCTGCACTGGCAGAAAGTGATTGGCTAAGCTCCATGATGATGATCTTTTGGGAATTGGGGAGAAAATAAGTTCCATTTGGTGGGATAAGTTTGCCTTCTAGTTAAGGATGGTGGCTATGGAATTAGGGAGGTCAGGGTGTCTTATTGAGCATTACTGGAGACGTGTCTTTGGTATTTGCTAGGAAGGAATCCTTGTGCTGAAAAGTAGTGGAGCACAAGTATGGATGTTCTTGGGGTTTAGGTGTCGAGGGAGGTGGATTCTTCGAACTTAGTGGGCCTGGAGGGTACTACAAAAGGTCAGGAGATATTCCTACGTCATGTTTTTTGTGTTGAGAAAATGAGATAGAGGCAGATTTTGGCATATGTTTGTTAAAGAGACCTGAAAGACAGGTTCCCCGAACTCTTCCAGATCACAACAGATAATGATGCCTCAGCTACAAGTTTATATATATTTTGCCCACTGGTGTGGTTTGGAGGCCTAGAATAGGAGAGCTTTGCGGGACTGGGAGATGGACCCAGTTTCAGCCTTATTGGAAATAATGCAAGGGACCAAGTTGTGTGGTGAAATGGAAGATGAGCTAAATGCACTGCAGGCTGCAGCTAAAGGTGGATTTTTAACGAATTAGCTTCTGGTCCTTTTATGAGGTACACTCTAGGGGAGTGGGCAAGTAGTTCCCCTTAGAAAGGTATATGTCCCACAAAGGCCTCCCTTAAGGTGGCAATTTTTTGCTTGGTTAGCAGCTATGCATTCTATTATCACTACAGATAATTTGTAGATGATAGAGTTCTGTATGTCCAATTGGTGTTACAAAAGCATGGGTGCTGAGGAAGCTGTGAGCCATTTTTTACATTTGGAGTGACAACTGAATTTGGGAGCCTACTTTTTTTGTTTGCTTGTCCAATGCTCCACTTTGCTTGTTGTGGTGCATTTTTCAAGGAAGGGATGGGAGTTTCTCAGCTACCGCTTAAAGATTGAAACAGTACTTTTGAGAACATTATACTTCTAGATATAGAAGACTGGAGTCTTATACTTCATATGTAGGTTCTTTTGTTGAGTTTTTTTTTTGGGAGAAATGAGTTTTTTTAGTGGCTTTCATATGAAGTTGTATACCTCGCATATACATGAACTGGACCTGCATTTTGCCATTATTAGTAGATTCTTTTTACTTATTAAAAAATATATATGTATATGTATTTTATATATATATATATATATATATGAAATCTAATATTACCAAGTTACAGTTTTATTTTGTGAGGAGTTACTTCTTACTGCCATGTTTCTTGCTTTAATATTAAGGTGATAACTTAGAATCTATACATTATTAATAGTTATATCATTTATCAACTCTCTATGATGGATTGAGTTAAATCTTTGCGAGCCTAAAATTGTATCAGTTTGTCTCCTTCCGTGCTTCTGCAAAGTTATTGGTGAATCTGAAGTGTAGCTTTATTTTTATGTTTTTTTAAATAGATAATTCAGCTGTAGTGTGCTTTTGATTGCATTATTTGACTTTATACTAATTTGTCAAGAACTCCATATGCTGGCCAACCGATCACGTGATCCTTTTCATATAAATATGGTCAAGTGTCTAGCTTAATTGAATTTTACTGACCTCTGTTATCATTTTTCAGTTAGCTACTGACCTGGTTTTTATTATTATGGTTTCAATTTTTTTTTTTTTGCAGTCATTTGGAGTCCACTGGTGTCCATTTAGTGGATTAACGCGACTTCCTTCATCTTTTGAGTAAGCATAATTTCTGACATTGTTGCTTATAGCTGATTAAATATCCTTAAATTTTGATGCTGCAATGTTGTGTGCGGGAAGTATTTTCTTTTCTGCAGGCCAGTTGCCTGGTCTCCTCCCTCAGTGTTTCTGTGAATGTTTGCTGAATTCTCTACCTACCATGTAGTGTTCTATACTGAATATGTTTCGATTATCTATGTTAATGCATCATGCTCCTTTGCTTCAAAAAGTGCACATTAGTAGCTATGAGTCTGTGACCTCTTATGAAAAGTGATATGTTGGTCTCAGTTACCCAAATGAATCTTTTGTCATGCTCTGACCAATGGCTTCATTCTTAAGACCTAGTACACCTTTAGCATTTGAGACTATAGTTGTATGGACTTACAACAAAAATGTGTAGTTCGATTCCACTTCATGCAGCTCAAGTTGTTGATGGACTAGTACAACAAAAATGTATAGATCGACTCCACTTCATTTGGCTCAAGTTGTTGAGTTCTTCAGTTTTCCAAGTATTGTTTCAGAATTATTCTAAGTAGGGACTAGGTAGCCTCAGAAAGTTGGTGAAAGCCGTGAAACTGTTGTTTTACTCGCTCTCAAATAGTTGGTATAAGGTATTGTTGAGTTCATTTTGGTCGGATAAAATATTTATATATTTTGTTCCTAGATTAGCTTTATTTATCTTACTATATTTTCCAATGCAAAGACAGTAGTGCATTTAAGTGTAGTGCTTAAGAATTTTTAGACATGGTATTTGTTATAATGTGTGACATGAATGCCAAAGTCGCAAAGTTTAGATGGTTCTAGAACTATTAGATGGTTCTAGATGGTTCTAGAATTTTTAGACATGGTATTTGTTAAGTACTTTTTCCTTTTTTGGCCAATTATTCGAAGAAAGGAAGTATTATGGCATTAAATGACCAAAAGAATTCTTAGCTTGATAATTGTCAACTTAATGTCTCTGTGTGTATGTAAAGTTGATCCGTTTAATGTTGAGCTCTGATCTCTTACTTGTGAACCATCTGTACTAGAGAAAACAAAGGGCTCAATGCGTAAATTGAAGTTGTTTACTTGGCATATGAGGGTGAAAGGCCCTTGCAACATAGTTGAAAGAGTTTGAACCTTTGAACTAAAATATAAGCATAAATATCTGATTGTTTTAATATAAAATTATTTTATAAAAAAAAAACAAAATTTAAGTAAATATTTAATGACATGTTATTTAACAACCCCCCGTATTGAACTCTTTCAACATAGCTATTTTTTTTTATTTTAAATTTTTTTTTTCTGTAAATCCCCAAGAATGCATTACTAATAAAGGAAAAAAGAAAAAAAAAAAAAACCAAGAATAGGACACGCCTGTCTAACAATTATCCATGGCATGTTGGACGCGCATCCATGGTGTATCCCTGCCATGACCGAAGATTAAAAAATAAAAATAAAAGAAATAGACGCGTTTTTTGGCGTGTCCGACGCGTGTCGGGGTGTGTGTCAGTGTCCAACATGGATTCTTTGCCCTTTTAGGCGTGTTTGTTGTGCTTCCTGGATGGAGGCTATGCCATTCATTGTTGCTTCTGCTATTTTTAATTGCTGTATTGAGCAACCTGGTTCTTGGGGTTCTCTGAAGTGTTTTGGTTTTGATTGCGTTGTTTATCTTGGCCTCTTTCACTCACATGTATGATCTACATTTTGCAGTGAAGGGGAATTTCCATCCACTGCGTGTAAGTTTATATTTTTCTGCCTCAGGTTTTCTAATTTTATTATTTTATTATTATTTATTTATTTATTTTTAAGTTTTGGCAGAGGAAGACTTTATAGAGAAATATAATAGGAGCTTTTGATTTTATGCAGATCATGATCTTATTGGACAACATGCAATCTTTGCTGAACATACAGCCTTATCATCTGCCACTCATCCTTGCCCATATGTTGCATACTTTGGACCGATCCCCCCTTCGTCGTCAAATTCCGGTGGAAGTGTTTCAGATGGTTCTACTTTTACCAATCACTGGAATAGCCCAGCAGTTCCTAGCGAGATTCCCACTTCTTACGCTTTTCCTGCCATGGACGTCCATTATCACAGTTGGGAACACCATTCCTCTCCCTTTCCCACGACGAGCAGCCGTATTGGTGGTGCTGATCAGCCTCCTGTTCCGTCTATGACACAGAGGGCAGCTAGGGCCAATTCTGATGTACCAAGATCAGGATCTTTTGTGCATCCATTCCTCGTAGGCCACAGGTAAGCCCTTGATAAAACATTAGGCCAGGTTTTGACATTTTTTGTGGATAGGTAAGACAACCCCCCATGTTACTCGCATACACTCACTATTTGCCCTATTGTGAACTTGATCTCTCAACCCGAGGACAACGTGGAGGAGATGTCACTTTAGCTAAAGGCTTGGCATGTTTTGACATATGCAAAATAAGGCTTGGCAAATGCTTTTTGGTCCCTTTTTTTCCCAGGGCATGGGTTCTTTAAACCAGCAGAGGAATGGAATTATTCTATGTTTCTGAAGAAGCAAAAAATAAATTTCTATATTTTTTTTTCCCTTGAGTCACTATTGTGGAGAAATATGATATTCTATAAAGCTGACTGAGAAAGGTGCCCCCCTTAAAACCTGTGAGAAAAAAAAGAAGAAAAAAAGAAGAAGAAAAAGGCCCTAACCCACCCAAATACTGTTTTCCCTTTGAAGCTTCATAATGTTGATTTTTCATGCATTCTCACAGTTCTGCTGCTAGAGCTGGATCCTCAATGGTTCGCCCCCATCCTGGCAGTGTTGCTCGGACCCGTGACCGTGTCCAGGCTCTCCAGGCATATTTTCAGCAACCCAGCAGTTCACCTACCATGCGCACACCCATCATTTCTGGCACACGAAGATCTACTAATCATAGGGCCATGGCTCAAGTAGGGCCAGTAGCCTCATCATCTGATCAGACTGGTGGCTTCTACTACTTCCCATCAGGTTCATCTGGTAGGAACTTCCACGAAGCGGAAAATTCCATGATGAATCGCTTCAATGGATGGGAAAGAGAACATTTGCCTTCGTTCCCACCGAGCCAAGTTGATAGAGATCCAAATTGGGGGCCATTCCATCAGGCTGCTGGGGGTTCAGATACTGCCATCAGGTCCAACAGCAGCTTCCGCCAGAGGCATGGATCCGAGAGGATGCCATCACAAAATCGGTCATAGACTTCTTATTCTGTTTTGTCGATAAAAACTATGAAAACTATGACTGAACCAAAAATTGTGCATGCTTGAGAAACGATATATATTTATGCTTGGAGTCTGTCTGACGAGACAGACTATACTGTGGCATCGCCCAGAAATGGTGCCTTTTGGCGGCAATGTGGTTGTGTGATGGACTTTGGCTTCCTCTGGTTTCTTTTTGCTGGGATATAAAATAAGATCATAAGTTGGATGGCAGGATTGGAAGGTTTCTTACAATTGTCATTTTAGAAAAATTGTGCCCTAGATATGGCTAACAGATTTGAGAAGTCTTTAACAAAATCGAATGCCAATTTCTTCTTACACAAGCGGTGAGTTTAGTTCAGAATTATCTTCTCAGGAGTGGACTCGAATCAAATTTAATGGACGAATTTTTTTTAGTAGTTACTCACACACACTTGTAAATTCTTAGACTTGAACCTCTAACTTCTCTTTGAAAGTAAGAGGCTAATATCGATAGGCCATTGGCCCGTTGGTTTGGGCGAATTTCTTTTCATTTGCAATCACTTTAGTTTTCTCTAGTTCAGGTCTTTGTTCATTATCCTGGAGAGTAATGTGCTAACTCTCTAGCGAATGAATAGGATCTTAGAGAGGTCTTTCCTTTTCGGATTATTGTATGTTCATTAAAACTTTCTCCAGAAAGTTAGGTGGTTAAAGATATTTTTCTTTACCAAATTTTTAGTCAAAAAATTTTCATTTTTTTTCTTTTTGTTTTTATCTAACCTTAAGGAGCCTTGGGAAAAAGCTTGACAAGCACTAGGTATAAACCCAACATTTAGCACAAACGTGTGTTGCGTAGTCTAAGTCACACAGAGTGAGTGAGGAAATAAGGTATGTTGCATAGCTTAAGTCACACGGAGTCACGTAGAGCAAGCGTGGAAATAGGAGCGAAAGCGGTATAAGGAGTAAGATAAGGAGCTAAATAAGGAGACGGTACTAGATCGGCACTTGATTAAAAAATTTATGTTACTTGGTGAATAGCTACAATTAGTGGCATGTGGGTTCCATAAAATTATTCCACATTCTTATCCACTTCCACGGCAATTTCAAATCAGTGACAACACAATGTTGTACCTCAACGGAAGGCTGTGATTGCTCACATATGTGGAGCCTACAGCCGTCCCTGGATTTACTGCACCATGCAGTAGTTGCAAACTTTTGGAAGAGGTCAATTCCAAAGTTATCTTCCCATGGTATTGTATAGAAGGGAGGAGCACTTCAATTCCAAACTCGTTCCAGGTAGGAAAATCAATTCCTAAACTCACACTGATGAAAAATAAATAAATAAATAAATAAATTCGATCCTAAATAATTTTAAGGCAGAAAGTCTTATGAAAAAAAATTAAAAATCATGAAATATTTAATAATTGTAATCATAAACTTTGTTAGTTTTACAGTTGAAAATTTAAAAGATTATGACTTATCAAAAAAAAAATTTAAAAGATTATGAAAAATAATAATAAAAAAAAACAATATTAAAAATTAATTTTAAAAAGAAGTAAATTAGACGTTTTGTGCTGGACAATTTTTATTAATTTTATTGTCATTCTAATGTCATTTTCGAATTCCTTAGGCTTCGTTTGGTTAGATAGAAATAAGCAAGAAAAGAAAAAAATGAAAAATAAAAGAAAAGTAAAGTGAATGAAAAGAAAAATTATTTTCTATCAAGCATTTGATTAGTATGAAAATTTATTCAGGAAGATTGTATGAAAATAAGTTTATTAGTTTGGATAGCATGAAAATAAAAAGAAAGTGATTGTATATGCCAAAATTATCCTTATGATTTCAAATACTAAAAAAATAAATAAATTTGTGTTTAATGATGTCTATTTTTATCAAAGTTTTAATAAAATGATGAATTATTATTTTTATTTATTTATTTATTTTTTTCCTAATTGGGACTCACACACACTACCTTCACTGAGATTCGAATCCCGAATCTCCGTAGGAGTCTTATACCGCTAGGCTAATATAATTATTTATATTCATTTATATTGTTTAAATTAAAACAATAATTTCTTAGGTGGAAGTGGAAGTAGAACTAATTATTCATTTAAGAGAAATAAGGAAGCTTAAAAATAAAAATAAAAATAAAAAAATAGACTCATGGACTCATGGGCTTTCAACCAGAGAACACAAAAAGAGCAAAATATATATTATTCTCTGTATATATAATAGAGGTGTATATATATTATCAGATACAATGTATATATTTGGAACCAAAAAATACCGACAAGTAGTATTGCAAGAGAACATGTTTAGAGAGAACTTGCTTTTTAGAAATCTACTAAAATAGAAATTGTTAGAGAACTAGCCTCTTTAAAACTCAGTAGAAAAGAAACTCAATTAGTTGTTTTACATGATTTAGTTGTTGGATAAAATAAGAATGTTAAATAAAAAGAAGCAGTTTTTACTAGAAAATATTATTTTCGCAAGTTTTTTGTGAGAAAAGTTTTGAAGGAAACTAATCTAATGTGGGAAACTATATTTTCTATGGTTTTTTTTTTTTTTTTTCCATCTATCCAAACTCTAAAAAAATTTAAAAATTTTCTTTCATTTCTTTTCTAGTTGATTCCATCTAACCAAACGAACTTATTGAATTTTTTTTTCCGAGAAAGTTAAGCAATTTATTGAATAAGAAAAAAACTATACGTAGTCCATATAATTGGACCCACAAATTTTGGGCCATTGGCCATACAAATTAGGCATTAAAGCCCAAAAAGACAACATACTTTCCCAAACCCAGCCCAGCTAAGTGAACCCACAATTGTATTCTTCTGTGATGGTATGTGGATCAAGCCGTTGGAGATCAGGGATCATGGTCACGATACTTTGGCGGGAAATTCCATGAGTCATCAAGTCTCCATGAGCTTAATCTTGAATTGCTTGGTATTTCTGAGCTAGCAATTTGATCCTGACTGAAGCTGCTACATAGAGGAAGATCAGATTAGAGAGCCAATTATGATGCCAGAAAAGAGTAGGGTGTTCCCATTACCAATCTTGGTTAACACCAGGTCTCAAATGCAACAACTTCCTCAAGTTGAATGAGCATTTTCGAGGTACATTGATTTCCCATAAACACCTGTTTCTAATCTTATATTCCTGTGTGTGTGTGTGTATATCTTGCAAACTAGGAGATAGAGGACACGGGCCCACCTGTTCCTGAAGCTGGATGATCTACCAACTAAACCACTAGGTAATATTCAGCCTACCGTCCTCTTTAGCTCTACAAACATTTATCCAGACCTAAGTAACATAAAGCGGAAACAAAAGTGAAAACTGTAAAATTAAGTTACAAATAGTGCCAATGGGAACGAAATCGCGTTCGGTGCGTGAGAGCGACATCCGTCGAGGAGGATTGTGTGACTTAAATCCAGACCATAAAAACTTCCTACATAAGCTGTTAATTTCTAAGATAATGATGCAGGTAGGATGAACATAGTAGCCCAATCAAGTTGAACACTAATAATAATGGATTGAATAGATATAAGTTTGCTTGTCCAGTGATCAATCCTACCTGTGATCTTCTCAACTAGGGGCATGCAGTCCTGAGCTCTCCCAATACGGTGGCGATTAATGGTATCCCAAAGTGTTTAATAGGAAAACACCCAATGCTAAATCCTAGTAGAGAGGAAATATTGTGTTGGATATTGGATCAACCCCACTGAAGAACACAGAACTTTTGGCCTGATTAATATGCAGACCCGTGAGAGAAGAGAACAATGTAAGCTATGTTACATGGACTTGGTTACGGGTATGTATCTATGCATCGGACGTATTAATTCTCTAAACCGAAGGACACGTCTAAATATTCATTTTATTTAGTTAGTTTATTTTATTTTATACGGTAAAGTAATGTTTTTATCTAATATAGTGTTCAATATATGATTTTTTTAATTCATTTTAATGTAATAGTACAATATAATTGAATGATTAAATATGCTTTTTAGGTATATGTCCAACTAAAAGTGTCAGACACATATCCCATACCCATGTCTAAGCAATATGTATCATACATGGATACTTTACTACTTTTGAAGAGTCCATGTAACATAGTAGGGAGGACATCTAGAAGGAACTGCCAACTTGCAGAATCAAAGGCCTTTTGAAGGTCTATATTCTATGGCATATTCTATAGCATAATCAAATCTCTGCCAATATGGTAAGTCATTCCATAAATCGTGGTTATTATATATGCTAACATATGCATAATCAAATCTCTACTATTATGGTAAGTCATTCCATAAATCGTGGTTATCATATATGCTAACAAACACATTTAAGAGTTGGAGAGTGCAGATTATAGCCATGCAATAACTCGAGAGAGTAGAACATTGTCACTGATGGACCTCCCTTGTATGAAGGTAGACTGGCTTGGGTCAATGAGAAGTGGTAAGACTGGTTTTAATTTATTGGCTAATAATTTTGTGATGCATTTGTAAATTGAATTACAACAGGAGTTTGACCTAAAGTCATTTGAGGTTTTAAGGGTTTGGAGATTTAGGAACCAAAGAGATGTCGGAGCAATTAAGCTCTTGAAGTAGTTTACCATTGGTAAAGAATTCCCTAGTTGCCTTAGTCAAGTCTTCTCCAATAAAAGGCCAAGCTTTTTGGAAGAACAAACTATTAAAACCATCACTGTCACTTGGAATAGAAGATAGGTCTTCACAAAGGCGAGGAGGAACAGTTTTGGTAGTAAATGATTGCTGGTACTGTCTTCCAGGATAAGCGTGGGATGAAGACCCCAAAAAGGACTTGAAATGAGAGACAATAGCATTTTTTATGGGACATCACCTTGAATAAGCTCTCCATTAGGAGTTATCTTCTTCCTGTTGATTCTTGCCCCTATTGACTTGAAAAAGAAAGAGAATTATTGCTTGGTAGTTGGTGTGTGAATACAACTAATTTTCTCTTCATTTCATGGTGAATTGGTGAGTCCTCTCTCCTGCCACAATGTACAGTCAACAGTCTTGATATTTATCGTAAGAAGTATTGACCATAAAAGTAGCTTCTTAGCTTCATGCAATTCACCATTGTACCAACCACCAAACTTACCAGAAATTTCCTAAATGGTTCTGACCAATATTTTTTTAAATTATTATTATTTATAAAAGACTTTCTAAATGCAACCCATAATGATAATTCTTATATCCATTTAACACAAAACAATATAAGAGTAATGGTATGCTTGCACTGTGACCCACACCCAACTCCCACTCACAGTCGGGTGTCATTAAAACTATCTTTTTTCAATAAATAAACAGCACAATGTTAAAAAAACTTATCCAAATACCTAATCAGCTGTAATTTATTAGGAAATATTCCGAAAATTCTCATGATTCCTAGAAAATTCCAACACACATCCTTAATCACCATCTCGATTTAACCATAAAAACATTTTTCTTTTTTATTATTATTATTATTTTTTTTTAAAATGATTCCACAGTCCAATCACTAGCTCAATACACAATAACAAAAGATGAATGCACCTGCTGTGAAAACCTAACAATGAAAAAGAGATCAAATTATTCATCTAGGCAAGTGGAGCTGATTTTATTTTCATTGACCAAAAAATTTCTTTTCAAGGTTAGTTATTTGTATAGTATTATTCATGTTATAATTTTCTCTTATATGTTATATATAATATATGATTGAATAAAATAAAATATATAATTGAATAACATAAAATAAAATATTTTTCAATCTAGCAGAAGCTTTTTCCCATTCTGAGTCCCAAAACGATAGACTACTGGTCTCTCTCACTTCCGCATTAATGTTGCATTTTCTGCCAATATTGGAGTCAATGGGGCTAACAACAATAATGTTGCATTTTCTTTTATATGTTATATATAATGTATGATTGAATAACATAAAATATATAATTGAATAAAATAAAATATTTTTCTATCTAGCAGAAGCTTTTTCCCATTCCGAGTCCCAAAACAATAGACTACTGGTCTCTCTTTCATTTCCGCGTTATTCTCTCTCACTTTCTGCCAATGGAGTCAATGGGGCTAACAACAATAATGTTGCATTAGCTCATTCGAGACGTATTTGTTCATTAAATATGTTAAAAAGAGCACATAGTCTCCATTATGGACGTGTTTTTCTGTAAATGATTCTAAATTGCTAGACTGTGGACATTGATTGTGAGAAGGAGCCAACACGCCCATGTGAATGCTTCATCCAAGGTTGAATTGTTGGCATTTCTTTTGGTAATATTCTATTCTCTTGCTCCATGCAAATACTCTTCCTCTCTCTCCCAGGGGCTTTTTGCAGCTACTCTCTGTCTCTCTCTACTTTGCACAAAAAAAGAACATGGCTGAAGCTTTGGTGGGTGGCGCTTTCTCTCGGCTTCCCTTCAAGTGCTGTTTGATCGGATGGCTTCTCGTGAGTTCAAAAGCTTCTTTTCCAAACGAAAGTTCGATGATGGACTCGTAGACAAACTGAAGACAATCTTGCTAGCCCTTCAAGCAGTGCTGGATGACGCGGAGGACAAGCAAATTACCAACAAACATGTTAAAGCTTGGCTCGACGAGCTCCAACATGTTGTCCACCAAGCTGAGGACTTGCTGGATGAAATTGCTACCAAAGCCTTGAAGGACAAGTTGGAAGTTGATCACGATCAGTCCCAAATCCAAAGCATGACAACTAAGGTTGGTTTCAATCGATTTTTTCGTCCTTTCAAGCTATCTCTATTACCGATTAATCGTTTTGTATCTTCTTATACGTACCTGTCTGATAAAGCAATAGAGTTGAGGATGAAGGAGGTCGTTAATAAGTTGGAGTGTTTTGTTGAGCAAAAAAATTCTCTTCATTTGAGAAACAACGCTGGAAGAAAACAGTGGCAAAGGCTACCAACCACATCTTTGGTAGATGAATTTGATGTCTATGGTAGGGACAACGACAAAGAGAAGATTATTGAATTGTTGTTGTCTAGCAATACAACTAGGAAAGAGATTGGTGTAATCCCCATTGTAGGAATGGGTGGGGTGGGCAAGACAACCCTTGCTCAACTTGTATACAATGATGCTAGAGTGGATCAGAATTTTGATTTGAAAGCATGGGTGTGTGTTTCTGATGACTTTGATATTTTTTTGATAACAAAAAGAATTGTTGAGGCTGTTACGACATCAACTAATCAAATTAATGAACTTAATCAACTTCAAATCAAGTTGAAAGAGAGCCTAGCAGGGAAGAAATTTCTGATTGTTTTAGACGATGTTTGGAATGACAATTCAATTCACTGGAACCTATTAAGAAGACCTTTTAGAATTGGAGCACAGGAAAGTAGAATTATCGTAACCACACGCATTGATAAAGTTGCATTAGTCATGGGCACTATTCCTAGTTATTGTCACTTGAAGCAATTGTCATTGGAAGATTGTTGGTCATTATTTGCAAAACATGCATTTGAGAATGGAGATTATATGGCTCATCCAGACCTAGAGATAATTGGTAGAGAAATTGTGAAGAAGTGTGGAGGCCTACCTTTAGCGGTAAAATCACTTGGAGGTCTCTTGCGGTCTAAATTGGAAACTGAGGAATGGGAAAATATATTAAAAAGCGAGATATGGGACTTGGATCCTAACACTCTTCCAGCTTTAAGATTGAGCTATCATTATCTTCCTTCGCATTTAAAGCGATGCTTTGCATATTGTTCAATATTTCCTAAAGATTACAAATTTGAAAAAGAACGATTAGTCCATTTATGGATAGCCCTTGATCTTGTGCAACAACCCAAAAATAATATATTATTGGAAGATGCAGGTAATTACTACTTTCGTGAACTATTGTCAAGGTCTTTCTTTCAGAAAATAAGTCATAACACTAAGTCTGATTATGTAATGCATGGCCTAATCCATGATTTAGCTCAACAGATATCTAGAGAGTTTTGTTTTAGGTTGGAAGATGGCAAACCCCTTAATCATGTATGTGAAAAAGTTCGTCATTTCTCGTATGCTAAGGGTGTATATGATGGATTCGAGAAATTCAAGGCTGTTAATGAGGTTAAGTATTTACGGACCTTAATATCATTTGATGAAAAAGCATATTGTTTCTTAGGCAATAAGGTACTACGTGATCTGTTGCCAAGCCTGAGATGCTTAAGGGTGCTATCTTTGTCTCATTACTGGATTTCTGAATTGCCTCAATCGATTGAAAATTTGATACTTTTACGCTATTTAGACGTCTCTTGGACAAAAATCAGACGGTTACCTGATGCGGTAACAACCTTGTGCAATTTACAGATATTAGATTTGTCATATTGTCGGGATCTCACTGAATTGCCTCTGAATATGGGTAAACTAATAAACTTGCGTTATCTGGATGTCAGAGGAACAACATTAACTGAAATGCCGATACAATTGAGCAGACTGAAAAATCTCCAACATTTAACATATTTTGTAGTTGGCAAGAATAGTGGATCAAGGAGTAATGGATTGAAGGAACTGTGTCATCTTCGGGGGGAACTTCTCATTTCAGGGCTTCAAAATATGACAAGTGGTCTCGATGCATCAGAAGCCAATCTAAAAGGAAAGGAGCACCTTGAAGGGTTAGAGTTCAAATGGGATGGTGATGCTAATGATTCACACAAAGAAAGAGATGTACTTGACAGGCTACAACCTCATGCTAGGGTGAAGGATCTACGCATCATTAACTATGGGGGCACAAGATTTCCGAATTGGTTAGAGAGAACTCGTTCGTTTCATAACATGGTGTCCTTAAAATTAATAAGGTGTGGAAATTGCTATTCTTTGCCATCGATTGGCCAACTACCCTCTCTAAAGTATCTAAGAATTGAAGGGATGAAAGCAATAACTAAGGTGAGTCAGGAATTCTATGGGGATGCTGATTCTTCAATGAAACCATTTCAATCTCTCGAGACACTAAGCTTCAAAGAAATGGAAGAGTGGGAGGAATGGGATGCATTAGGTGCTGGAGAGTTCTCTCGCCTTTTAGAACTTTCTTTGGTCGATTGCTCTAAGCTAACCGGTGAATTACCCAGTCATGTCCTTTCTTTAAGAAAAATAGAAATTTCTGGATGCCAACAGCTTGTGCCAGATCAAGTGAGGCAGCTGCTGCTACACCGACCTCATCTTGAGGAATTGAATATTTCAGATATGTCAAACTTCATGGAATTTCAGCCGGAATTGTGCAATTTAATGAAACTTGAAAGGTTGACGATAAAGAAATGCCCGAGCCTTGTGTCATTTCTGGATGTGGGATTGCCGTCCCTAGCAGCAGTACCAAAGGGAATAAATATGAATATGAATATGATGGGCATCAACAATTGCCTTCAAGAGTTGCGCATCTATGATTGTTCATCTCTTCTTCAGTTGTCTTTCCTCATTGATGGTCTACCTGCTCCCACATTGAAAACACTTGAGATCTCCTCCTGTAGTCGTATAGAATTTTCCCTGACGGAGCATAATCACCACACATGTTCCATTGAAAATCTGATTGTATACAACTGTGACCTTCTCAAGTCATTGTCATTGGGATTATTCCCAAAGCTTCGTTATCTCAAGATCTCAGGGAACATAAATTTTGAAACGCTTTCAATTCGAGATGGCGAAGAGCTTCAAAATCTGATGGAGCTTAAAATAGATGATTGCCCTAAAATGGTATACTTTCCCCATGGTGATGGAGGAAGATTATTGCCTGCTCCCAATCTGACGTATTTGAGAATCAGTTTTTGCAATAATTTGAAGTCGCTGCCGCAACAAATGCACACCCTCCTCCCATCTCTTGAAAGATTGTATATATGGAACTGTCCAGAAGTTGAATCCTTTCCAGACGGAGGTTTGCCGTCCAACTTAACTACACTTTGGGTCTGTAATTGTGAGAAACTGATGAAGGGTCGGATCGGTTGGGGTTTGCAAACACCTTCGTCTCTTAAAGAATTCGATATCTGGGGTGAATATGAGGAAGAAATGTTGGAGTCATTTCCAGAGGAGTGGCTATTACCCACCACTATTACCACTCTTTGGATTGCAAAACTTCCAAATCTGAAATCAGTGAACCACAAGGGCCTTCAACACCTCACCTCTCTTACAAGTCTATACCTGCATGAATGCCCAAAGCTCCAGTCATTGCCAAAAGAGGGGCTGCCCAACTCCCTCTCTTTTCTGCAGATACAGAATTGTCCATTGCTGAAACCACGCTGCCAAAGGGATAATGGGAAAGATTGGCCCAAGATTTCCCAAATCCCCTGGATAAGCCTTGATGGTGAAGACATCATAAACTTAGAGTGACATTCATCCATTCTCGCATGTATTCCTTTGGTTTCTATTCATGCAGGAAAACCACCCTAATTCCTTCCGCTCAGGTACTACACTCTGTTCAACACTCTCTACAACATAACGAAATATTTTACTTTCTTCTATCTATCATTAATCCCCCCTCACTTTCCTTGCACCATCAACACTAGTGCTGCGCGTTAGTTGATGATCAAATCACTTCATGACCATAACAAGATGAATTATCACCTTTCTCAACATTGATGGTTGCAGAGAAACTTCAATTCTCAGTTAGGTATGTGCCTCCACATTTTGGCAGATACAAACTAAATTAATGTCAATTCTAGAACAAAAAAAATGCTGATTCTAACAATTTTGTCATTGCCAACATGTATAATAAATCTGGTTTAAATTGATGGAAAATTTTTAAACTAACATGATTTTATTTTGCAGCTAAATACCCACCCTCACGTCTCTATTTGATTCTCAGAAACAATGATGGAAGGCAAAGAAAATGAAAGAAATGCGGAAGTGCAAGAAAACAATCAGCAGGTAAAACCTTTTAATTTCTAATACAGATTTCCCCATATCTTTTTTGCTCTGTATGCGAACTTGTTTTGTGCAAGTCATAGAAGTCATTTTCTCCCTTCAGATTTTATTTTCTCACAATTTTCCATTACAAACACACACACACTAAAAAAAAAAAAAAAAACAAATTGTCTTGCATGAGCCACTCGGGCTGTCATGTTTGAATTCTAGTTTGCATTTGTTATTAATTACTTTTATTTATTTAATACAATTCTTGACTTACTTGAAATCTTGATATCTTCTGCCAGCACTATGGTTTCCAATTATAGACTTCCCGAGCTACGGAACACATATCAGTTCTGTTTCAGTTCATGAAGCAAGCAAATCCCTCAATTAGTTGGAGTATATATTGTATGCATTCTGGAAGAGAACCAAAACAAGATTCATGTGCCTTTGGAGCTCGTATCGACCTGGGCTTGACATGAACTATTGAAACCATTCATGTATACAAATGATAAGGTATGCAAAATTGAGTAGCATCTCTTTGGAATATATGCAGAATTCCATTTGAATCATTTATGCTGAATATGCACTAAAATGTGCCCAACTAGCCTATATCTGTTTCTGTTTATTTTTTGGGTCATTTTTTGGTTCAATGCTAAAAGCTCAGCCTGATAATCACAAGGACACGGGTTTGAGTCTGAGGTTAACTACTTTGCAATAAAATATTCCAAATGTTTGTCTCGAGTTCCTAGAACAGTATTAGATACTGACCTTTTTATTCAACTACACTACACATTGCAGCATGGTGACAAATGCATTTGGAGTTGGCGGGTGGGGGGTCTTAGTTCACTTCTTATTCATTATAATAGCTTTGTCCACCATAAAAAAAGAGTGTATATAATTATTATCTCAGTGCTTCTAGGTATTATTATTTTTGAAATTATTGAAATATGACATGTATGAATACTTTTGCACCCTACATTGGGTATGAGTGGATTATGATGTTCGAAAATTGATGCAGAATCACAAAATGATTTCCTCCTGTATAGCTTGGGTGAAGGAATTGGAGAGTTTATACTGGTCTCTGTTAACTCATATTTTTAGTGATCACAAACATAGCAATTCCATGATTAAACGGTCAATGTGACATTTCTGAGACCTACTTCATCGTCTTTGAACACTTGATGGTGAGGTTTATGAACTTCTCCCTCAATTCCCGCTTACATGAGCCACTCAGGTACAGGTTTAAATTCTACTTTGCATGACTAATTAATTACTTCTACTTATTTGATTGCAATCAGCTTATCACTCTATCGTTCATTAATGGCAGCTTGCAAGCTGGAAGGGAACTAGAGCTTGATTCATGTGCCATTTGAGCTCACATGAACCTAGGCATGACCTGAACTCTGAAGTTGCCCATTTAATTATCTGATGAGGCAAGCAATTTTTTCTTATTTCTTTTTATTTTTTCTGTTTTCCCCCTAGGCATGAGGTTGGCAATTTTTCTAGTATCGTTTCAAAACACATGCAGAATATACTAGAATAATTTTTTTGTGAATGTGCAAGTACGACGTGTCAAAGCCATTGCAACATGGTGATACTGGCTCCAACTACTTATATTTTCTTTGCTTCAGCAATTCCAGATATATCTTTTGGGGAGCAACCAGAAAGAGATACTGTTAAGGGGACAATTAAATGCAAGTGTCCTCTTATTGTTACATTTTACAACTATAGATCTGCTAAGACATGCTCTGTAACTGTAATTGTTACAGATGGAAGTTTAACTGCGGTGCAAACTATTGCATCACCCGCCAATTGAGGTGTCATCCACTCAATTGTTGGAGGACAACCACTGCTTATACTTGGAGTTGCAGAGCCAACTGTATTGATGTACATGTTGGGAAACGTGCAAGTTTTAAAAACTTTTCGAGGGATTTAAATTCATAGATCTTGATTCATTACATAGAGACAAGTTTCATGCAAAAATAAAACATGATGTATCATTCAATTAAAAGATTGAATACTTACATCAAGGTTTGAGTAAACCTTAGATCTCTCCTCTAAAGTGAATGTTCTCACTTATTGTAGATCCCTTAGCAAAATGCATTCTCCTTGGATCTCCATCTTCTTGGTAATTGTTTTGCCTTTAGGAATCACTCATATGCCTCCATGAATGACCTTGGAAAACTAGGCTTGTGGGAGCCTCCATTAGATGAGAACATAAACCCTAATATTCTAGAGAGAGAAAAGTTATTCCTATTTTCTTCTCATCAGAATCACCCCTAAAATATACATAGACCATGTATATTTATAGGCAACATAAAGATAAAGAAAAGGAAACAACAAATCCTTCTCCATTTCTAATTCATATGTCTCAAATCTAATATGATTCCAATATCAAGTTGGGCTATGAGTGAGAATCCATTGGGCCTATTATTTTATTGGCTACAATGAATTAATGATTGACCCGGTCCATGGACCCAATTCAATTAATTCATAAATTAATTTCTACTCCACTAAAAGAAATTAATTGAACTCCAATTAAATAATAAATAACCTCTAAGTCAATATTGCACTTTGACCCCTCTATGCATAATTAGTTATCGGATAAATAATGCCATCAATCCGACTACTTAATTAATATATTTATTTTGGTACCTTTGATTATTTCTGGCTCGATTACAATAAAACATTTGTTCGACAAAAATAATAATTTAATAAATAAATATATATTAAATCATTTTGTCTAAAATCATACGAAGGCCTTCGAATTTACTTTGTGATCAACCATAATCAATACAAAATAAATACAAGTAGCAATGATGCAAATATTGAAAATATAACCCTCTAACTATTAATTACATAACTACCCGAAGTGTCAGTCTAAGGATCCCAAAGAATCCGCCGAACAAATCAAAGTAATTATTAATTAATAAAAGAGTCTATACTTTTCTCATGCTTAAGAGTCAAATGCCATGACGGTGATAGAGAGTAATTGCATACGACGGCTCTCGCAATATATCTCAACCTAACGCGGATCCAGTTCAAGTCTTAATTAATTATGAGTCCATCCATAATTACCGACTATGAACAATTTATAATTACTATTTATATATCATGCATTGATTGTCATCACATACATATATATAAATATTTCTTGTAATTACATGGACACTATCAATTTCATAGTGAATCGAAATATAATACATTGAATTCACCAATTGTATAAAACATAAATATTTCAGAAACGTCAGGAACATATGTCAATTAATCCAAACAGGAATTTGCTATGCCAGGGCATATAAATCCCAACAGCTCCCACTTGCCCTCATAGCCAATTCAAATTGCACCTAACTCCAATGTTATCCAGATGATGATCAAAATTATTGATCAATGACACATTTGATAATGGATCAACAAAGTTGTGTTCCAATGCAATGCTCTAGCTACAAGTACATTTTCTTGCCGGATAATATCATGTAGAACATGATACTTCCTATCAGTGTATTTTGTTCATCTATGGAACCTTGGGTCATTGGTTTGGACTACTTCTGCACTATTGTCGCAATATAGCTCGATAGGCAGGCTAGTATGCTCCACAACCTCTAAATCAGTGAGATCAAACCAATAGGCTTATATTGCCACATTTAAGGCTGCAATATATTCCACCTGCAGGTTTGAGTCAACAGTTGAAATCTGCTTGACAATCTACCAACTGATTTCCCTTCCATTAAGTGAACATACACTAAGTCATGAACCTCATAGTATCTACTTCTGATTGAAAATCAGAACTAGCATACCTGACTAGGACCATATCATCACATCCATAAATGAGTATGATATCATTGATTCTCCTTAGGTACTTAATGATATTTTTCACAATAGACCAGTTGTCAAGTCCAGTATTGGACTGATCTCTACTGACTATCCCTACTATGTAGCGGATGTCCTGTTTGGTATAGACCATGGCATATATGAGACTCTTATATGCTGAAACATATTGTTCCAGTCTCATTTGCTCAATCTCCTCTGCTAGTCTTGAAAAACTACTTACTAGAGAGAGCGATCCATATCAATAAAGCAAGAACTCATTCTTTGAGTTATGCATACCAAACCTGGTCAAAACTTTATCAATGTAGGATTATTAAGATAAGCCTATTTTTCTTTTAACCTGATCTTGCAAAAGCTTGATCCTAGGAATATAGCTTACATCTTGAAAATCCTTCATTTAAAAGTAATTGAACAACTACCTCTTTATTAATGACAAAACTTCCACATCATTCTAAATGAGTAGGATGTCATCAATATATATAGAATTAGAAAAATAATGACATTCCTTTGTACACTCATGATTTATTCACTAAGAAATCTTCTAGTATTTATTTGTAGATTAACTTACCTTCCATAGGAATCACCCTACTAGAAAGTTCTACAAGATCCCAGAATTTATTAGAATACATCGATTCTAACTCTGATTTCATAGT